GAAATTGTTTGGAATGAAAATCGGCTGCTCAGGTATATAGATGAAAATTGATTATTGTGCATTTTCTTAAAGAAAATCGGTAGTACTACTAGAAGATTTCGAAATTTACATATTAGGTGGTCAATTTAGATGCTAGCTTAAAGCATTCAGCGTTCGACTTTCCAAATGACTGTATTTATCGAAGGCTAGAAATCTACTTTTTCGTAGATTCGACATTAGAGATATTTATTTTGCAACAAGTTTTCGGTTTCTTTCATTTTAAAATGCTGTTCATACGTTTGGACGTTCGTACTTGGACGCTTGTTAGACACGTTCTCTTATTCGGAGATTCGAGCGCTTGACACAAGGTCATCATCTATAGCATAGCATAACAAAGATTTCAAAGGGGGCAGATAAAGTTGACGAAGAAAGTGTTACTTTAATTTTCTTTAAGACATAACTAACACTGGTAACCAAGGTTTTGTGAATTTATCTGCACTTATTCGCTGTTTCTAATGTTTGAAAGAAAACTGAATTCAAATAACAAAATTTCTCGAATCAGGTTGATTTAATTGGTCCTCACTTTTTATAAATACAAAGATTCCACCGCGCTTGCACAATCTAGAATGAGCGCACTTAGAGGGCGGAGAAAAAGGCGGGGCCGTTTCTCGACCTGTGAAGGTGTGATGTCCCTTCCAGTTTTCTCTGAAGGTGCTAATCACTCCTGCAAGGAAAGTCGGCGAGGCTTTGGGAACTCCTGCCACGCCGATAGGGCATCCAGAGGGAGGAGCAATGGTCGGAGCCGCTCTTTTGCTCCGAGAAGGTGTGATGTCCTTCGGATTTCAGGTGTCAAGTACCCCTGCGAAGCAAAGCGGCTAGGCTTCGGGAACTCCTGCTACGCCACTGTGCTCGGGAGTAGCCAGAAAATGAAAAAGAGTAAAATTTTAGGCCAACATTCGCCAATTGCCAGTTGTTAGCTCGCGCAATTCAACAAAGGAAGAGCACTCAGTCGAAATGGCGATTAGCAAAGTGAATTTCAGAGCAAGAGCTCAATACGCCATTCGCAAATCACCTCATCTGCAAAGCTTTCCTACGAGTTACTTATAAGTTTTAATGCATGCGTAGGTTCGAACAGTCGAACAAATGAAGGCTTTTATTCGAATACTTATTGATTCGACAACTCGAAAAGAAACTTAGTCGAAATTTTACTCGAATATTCGAACATTCGAAAAAAATTTCGTATTAGTTGTTTTTTCGGTTCGCCGAATAGACAAATATTCGAGCAAAAGTCTTTTCCATTGGAACATGGAAAAATTTGCAGTGTCAAAAAACCACTTTGTGTACAAGCTATACAGAAAGAAACCTGGGACTCACTCTTCTCGTATTCTTTCTCCAATGTATCAAATTTTGAAGAAAATCAAGCTTTACTTCTGTCACTCATGAAGTGAAAAAACTGCAAAACAAACTAGGACGCTGTGAATAGCATCTAAACGATAATACATGATGTCAACAACTACATGTGAATCAATTATTCGTGATTTTGCTTACAATAGCACCAAATTTTGCAAAATAATTGGAGAAACCTAACGATTGATAGACTTTAATAATGGTTTGTTCCAAGCAAAAACTTTTGGCACAATGAGAAGAGGATATTCTTGGGCTTTACAACAAAGAAGCACACCTGTTCTGTGTGATTTGATAATTTTTTGTACCTGAAACAATGTCTCATGCTGTTTTGCTCATAATTTCATATTCGCTGGGATGCATTTACGTCTCCATGGAAACCTGCGCAACTAAACAAGTCCAACGAAGCCTAACACTGGAGCAGCGTAATGCTCTTATTTTTTCGTAAAACTATGTTTATTCATCAATCTTCTCTCTTGTTATGGTTATAGTTCGTCTTTTTTCTATAAAGGTTTTGTGAGCATGGTCCAGGGAAAGTTATCCTGGTTCAAGCGTAGGATGTGGCACGCCACACCTGGGATGGGGGAGGGGGAGGGATGTGTTAGATGTATGTCAAGAAGCGCGATTTTTAATGCCAGATGGAAGTTTACGCATTTTTGGTATTTCATGATGTTTTAGGAATAATTCAAATATCTAACAAGATGTGCATAATCGTCCTATAGGTTGCTCAATCTTATCTTTTGAAATAGAAGCAAAATAGAAGCACGCTAAACGATATTGACCTGTCATCGTATACATATATTATATACATATACATACATATATTGAGCACAATAAAGAATCCCTACCAAGCATAATGAGCGTTATTTTCGTAATTAGCATGTCAAATAACCCGCTTGGATCAAAGTTTTGCGAACCCTGGGGACTAAGTATTGAGCCACTTCAAGCGAACTACTCAGTTGAACACACTCAACATTGTTTTGAAGGTAAGCTAACTACCTCCTTTTCCACTCATTACAAAGCACTACCTCGTTTTTGCCTATATTAGAAATCCCACGTCAAATAACCGCCAAACTATAAAATTGGAAGCCAGCCAAATTCTCACTTTTCCATTTTTGCTTGTAATGGTAGGGCTTTCGCAACTGCTAGTTTGGCCAAGAATTGATTTCATTTTGACATGAAACTTTGAAGCTCCAAATTCCAAGTAACTGTTATTCAGTTACAATTTTTTTGTAAGCGGGCAGCTTCAAGCTTCTACTATTGAATACTCGTTACATAGAATTCGCAAGGCTAAAAACAGCTGTGACCTTCTATGACTAGCATTCCGCCATCAAAAATAATTTTTGAGCAAAAAAGTAAAACACCCGATTATTTTTGATTTACTCTTTCCAATGGTACCATGAATAAATACACAATTCTATTGGTGACATTTCTAGAAAACCGTTAAGAACGACCCACATTATTTTTTAGGCAACCTACTATTACTCAAAAGGAAAGGATACTTGGTGACAGTGGCCTTTTGAAATAAAACGTACCCGTTAAATGCATCTTGAAGCGCAGATTCCGCTGTGCGCTCTTCCAAAAGAAGTTATAAACATTTCTTGTCACCAAAATTTGCACTTTTTTCGATGCAGGATTTACCAATATTGTCAGAATGTTCGCTTAAACACTACAAAAGAGCGTACAGATAAAGCAAAGCTTTTAGAAGATCAGGAAAACTGTCACCGATACATCAAAGTCTAAAAAGCCTGGATACTGACATTTTGACTCCTACGTCTCGCAAAATCAATATGGAAAAAAGTTTATAACTTTGTTTAGAGTGTCGCACAGCAGATATTGAACACAGATTTGAAATCAGCGTTCCAAGACGCACTTACTACAAAATCTGAGCTATCAAAAATACATCTACATGTTTTTTGTCACTTTCTCTCGCTATACAGTCGTAGCGCAGATTTAGACGACTACAGTAACTCAGTCACGTCGGGTTGGAAACATGACTATATCTTCTTCTGGTTAACAATTTCGGATGTATTATTTCTCATAGTGAAGCAAAGAAAATTCATTACTCCCAATGATATAAGAAGCCTGGATGTATGAGCGCTTAGAAGGCAAGTTAATGGACTGTCGAACAACCTCATAAAAGGTGTGGTAGCCACAGCCCTTTTGGTGTTGTCCCTTCTAGCGAATTTATATACATGGTTTAATAGCCTGACTCTCGTTGTTATCACAAGTAATCCGAAGCTGGCTTGTCTCCTTTAATCTGATTAACAATTGCTGAAAGCACAATTTTCGAAGGTGAAAAATGGGAGAAACTTTTAGATGGCTCTTCTATAATTTGGCGGTATTTGAAGAGGTATTTTATAGGGGCAAAGAAGGAGTAGAGCCTTGTATTGTGTGCAAGAGGTGGCTAACTCACCTTTGAACAAATTTAATTATGTTTGAAAACGGCCATTTGACTTGAGTGGCCCCATATTTGGAAACTTCAAAATTCGCTATTACATGGTCCACAAGGGCTATCTCATATGCTAATTACTACTATTCTTCTTTATGTTTGATACGGCCTCATTATATCCTAACGATAGATGAAGGTAATCGATATTGCTGAAGAGGAGGTAGTTCACTGAGACGTTCAGCAAAAGGAGGTGAAGGGGGGGGGGGGGAATCCTCGGCGGTGAAGGCAAAAACAGCTTATTATTGACTTATTTGAAAATGGAGTTCATTTTTGGGAAAACCTGATAGACCGTGAAAGCTGTTCAGACGCCACACCTCTTGCTCGTCCCCGGTTATAACACGATTCGATGCATATGATTATTACTGCATTAAGATTTCAGGCTAGTTTTCGCCGGGATCTATACTTCGATTTTGAGATATTTTTTCAATTTCTCATACTCCATATTTTTATATGAAGAAAGTGAAATGAACCTCTAATAGAAAAGGTGAAAACGAGATGAATGTCTAAGAATTGACATTTGTGCTATTGAACAGTGTGTCTCAAGGATGCAAGTTTTATCGAATGTTCAGCAGAAACAGATTATTTTGCGCTTATCAAAGCAAGAACTTAGAAGTTTAATTCATTGTTATGCATAAAAAAAGATTTCAAGAAAATACCTTAAGTGCACAGTCCATCCAGATTCTCGACTTCTAGGTTTTTATCGTTTCAGAGCCTCATCATGTCCCTGATTCCAAATATGAATTCGAGAATCCGCGAAAACCCCGAAATCCCCATTCCGGAAACCCACAGGCCGGCTTGGCTTTCCAAAATGTGATTGGATGAGCGCGCACAAATGGGCGGGCATGGATGGGGAGGGCGGGCATGGATGGGGGTCCTTGTGCATCTTCGCTATTCCGAAGCGATTTTTTCGCTTCCGAAGCGGCATATTGCGCCACGACTTGGGCATTGGCTTGTCAGGAGGCCCTAATGTTGTATGCTGCCAAAAGCTCAACACACTCAACTTAGGGTGGACGGTGCCTTTAAAAGCGGCATGTAGGCTTGCTCAAAAAATGTTTTTGGACTCTGTTCAGTGTTCAGTTCTGTGCCCTAATTTACATTCAATAAAATGGATTGTTTTTTTTGCCTACCAATTACAATTATTTATATTACTTTATTTTATGTGAGGATGGCGAAGGAAGAGGGAAAAGACGTGCGAAGGACATATCTACTTCGAGTCGCCAGCCATATTCTAGGCCTTAACATTGTGGAAGAGAAGTTACGCCATCTACAACCGCTCGAAACATTCTGTGACACTAACAAAACAGTTTTGAGTGTATCGCTAACCGAACAGGTAAGGTAAACGTGGCTCGGCACGAGGTAGTCTTCCCAAAATGCAAAAAAAAGAAGCCCTCCTCCTTGACGTTCGCAAATTTTACAAAATCTCTATTGAACCCTTATCAGATCGACTTAAAAACCGAGAAAAAATGAGTCGACTGAAGAAACCTAACCTTACTGGTGTTTTCCCATCCACAAAAACGATATTCCCTTTGCTTTTTGTCTCAATAACTATATCCAGCTTGGTTATGCTATCTGTGTCGTGCTTTGATAAACCTACATTTGAAGTAGTCATCTCATCAAAAAAAAAGTGATTTAGCGAGGTATCGAACTTCTCAATGAAGTCAAATCGGGGACATTGCCGAAGGTGGTGTTCTATAAGTCACGACCGATTCCCCTCACTACTGACAATTACAAAACAATTGTGAACATTATGTCTATGAATGGAGGGTCAAACGAAGTCTTTCTGAAAAGTGTACAAAATGTAAGTCACTTTTCATTTTATCATTTCTTTTCCATTTTTGTACCCTTTCAGAAATACTTATGATATAAATTGTAAGCCCTTCTTCAGGTGTTCAGCAAAAACATTTCGGGCTCGTCAGAAACAACAGCAAATAAACATCTTTTGACTCTAGTGAGTGAATTGGAAGAGAATCTTCTTGCCGTTGTAGATGGAGGAAAGACAAGCGGAGAAGATATGTATACTTTTTATTCAGTTTTGTAAGAGTGTACCATAGTTTACCGTTTTTACTTTCTCCAGCGATAACTCTATAAGTTCTATAAGTCGCGACCGACTCCCCTCACTACTGACAATTATAAAACATGTTTCTTGAATAGGCTTCAAACATTTGACAAAGTAAAGCAAGCTCTACAACGTTTTGTTTCACAGTTCGAAGCCGAAGTCTTAGAAGAATTAAAAGCCCGAAAATTCGAAAAAAAATCGCGTACTCCATTTAAAAACCTCCTACGGACTTCCTATTTGCTCAGACATGTACTGTCTATATCTAATATTTATCTGTGAAGTGTTATTTTTTGCAGGCTAAAATTCGAAAATCATGCACACATCAAAATAGGCTAGAAATAAAATAGTTTTTTCGGTGGTTTTGCGCTAAATCTGATAATTTCCAAAAAAACTCATGGTAAAAAGCCAAAAATTGATCGTTATACTTTCGAGGATTCATACTTTAGAATCACCTACGAGGAGCAGCCCACTGTAGCTTTGGCAAAAAAACATAAATTATTAATTCTACATTTCCAGCCATGAAAAAAATATGCAAATGCGTTTATAAATGCAGAATGTTGATAAAGTGCGGTTCATAATTATACGAACACCCCAAATTTTGAAAGTTTTTGGACTTTTTGGAAGAAACTCAAAAAGCCGTTGGCACCACGCGATAGAACACAACCGAAAACGGTATATAATCCATAAGAATGGAAATGGATGTCACTCTTGAAAGCGTTTTTGCGCCTAATGCGAATTTTTAGCGGTTCATAATTATACGAACACCTCAAACAAAGGTCCATTTTTCATTCAAGATTGCAATCTTTGGAATCCAAATTTTTTGTAGAGTTACAGTAACAAAGTCTGACATATCTGCTACACACTGAACCCAGTGCAGTTCAAAAAGGAACCGTTACTTTTTTCAAAAGGAACTAAATGCTTTTGGAGTGAATGCGCTCCAAGAACATCCGTTCTTCTGTGCTTTACGCGCTCTGATTAGATTTTACCAAAGCTATGAGATAAAATAAGCTCTTTCGATAGGTATTTTGTTTAACGCTTGGAAAATCTTTGCGTTTTCGTGCCGTTTTTCACAAAGTTCCAACCTTACCACAAAGTTAGCACGATTTTGAGCCTCAAAACTCAGCTTCTCTCTTGCGCAAACATTTGATATGAAGCCGCTGCATTGTTTGCGTGATGATGTTTCTGTGCCAAAGTTTTTGGGTTTTTTGTAGAACTGATCTTGAGGCTATGGGGCTAAAAACCAGATAAAGGTGTGTTTGCAATAGTAAAAACAGTGTTTTTGGTGAAATGACGTCTGCGTGGCCAAAACAAATGCTCAGCGCTGCTGATTTTTTCTAGCCAAATACACAATCTTGTAACCTTCTACATACTATTTGCTCACTTCATTGTAGGGCTTTCGAAGCTGAGTTTTGAGGCTCGAAAACGTGCTAATTCTAAGGTAAGGTTGAAACTTGATTGAAAAGCGGCATGAAAACGCATAGATTTTCCAAGCGTCAAACAAAATATCTATCGAAAGAACTTGTTTTATGTCATAGCCTTGACACAAGCTAGTTAGAGTGCGTAAACCACAGAAGAACGCATGTTTTTGGAGCGCAATCACTCCAAAAGCATTTAGAGCCACCTGAAAAAAGTAGCAATCCTCTTTTTGAGCTGCACTGGGTTCAGTGTGTAGCAGATATGTCAAACTTTGTTACTGTAACTCTACAAAAAATTTGGACTCGAATGATTGCAATCCTGAATGAAAAATGGACCTTTGCTTAAGGTGTTCGTATAATTATGAACCGCTAAAAATTCGCATTAGGCGCAGAAACGCTCCTAAGATTGACATCCATTTCCATTCTTATGGATCATGTACCGTTTTCGGCTGTGTTCTATCGCGTGGTACCAACGACTTTTTGAGTTTCTTCCAAAAAGTCCAAAAACTTTCAAAATTTGAGGTGTTCGTATAATTATGAACCGCACTTTAGTACAGGGTGTCCCAAAAAATGTTAACACTGTTTGATCGTTAACAACTCCCTTGCTTTCAAGTCTTTCGCCGAGCTTTAGGTGCCATTCTGTAGAGCGAAGATAAACTTAGATTTACAGTATCGAGCGAATCATCTAACTCTCCTCTTTACTGTAGAATTACGGTAGGAAATTTGACAAGGATTTTAGGCCATTAAAGCCCATTTTCTGTTTCAAAACAAAGCCAAACAAGCCAAAATCTCTTGTACTACGAAGAAAGCCGCTGATTTCGGATATAAAATTTTCACTTCATTATGAAACTTCTTTTCAAAGTTATCCTAGGTAAAGTGTAATAACTGACTTCCCAACATGTGTCAAAAATGTGATTACACCGCCAAAAAAAGCTGAAAACACTCGTAAAAAGTTGTGTAGTAAAATCAGCGCGCGCGAAAACCCTAGTACACGATTTTTCAGATTTTAAAAAAAAATTTTGTCAGAGGGCGTATTTCACGACGGTTCCTTATGCTGGAATTTCCTACCGTAATTCTAAAGTAACGAGGAGCAGATGATCCGCTCGATACTGTAAATCTAAGTTTATCCTCGCTCTACAGAATGGTACCTAAAGCTCGGCGAAAGACTTGAAAGCAAGGGAGTTATTAACGATCAAACAGTGTTAACATTTTTTTGGGACACCCTGTATTTGCTTGAGGAGTTTCCTACAAAGTTTTTAGGGATTTTTTAAAAGAAGATGCAATTTTTTCTTGACTTTTCGCAAATTTTGATATTTCGGCTTTGAAGTTCAAGTGGAACAAGCTTTGAGCAACTTCGGATGCAGTCTTGTAGAGTTTGCTTTGCTCTGTCCAGTGATACTGCACAACCTATGAAGAATAGAGCAGCAAGAAGAGTTGTGGGAGATAAAAGCGGTAAAAAATGGAGCAGCCTATGGAAGGTGCAAATTATAGGTGGTGTAACTTCCTTGCAAGAGGAGATACGCTTGTGGAAATCACGAAGCGGCAGCGCTGCTGAGCAGTACAACGAAGCTTTTGCACCCTTGCAAATCGTTGTGGATACTGTAGAAGTATGAAGGTCCATTTTATAAGGTTTCGAAGGCTATAAATGACTACTAGGATCGTCCAATCGATGAAATTGTTGGATTAGTCGAAGCAATGGAAGACGCATGTGATGCTTTGTGGAACTGTCAGCCTCCTTATCCAGAAAGTAGAATGCGAGGTCTCATACAATGCATGGGTAAGTGAAACAATTATCCCACTGTTTTATCATACTGGCTGTCCCAAAAAATGTATCAAGCTTTGATTGTTGATAACTATCTTGTCTAAACATTTCGCTGATCTTTAGTTAGCATAGATAATGTAGAGCTCCCCTCAGATTAGATTTACAATACAAAACTAACCATTCCATGCTTTTCATTATTATAAAATTACGGTAGGTCTCAGCACAACATTGCCACCAAATCAGCTACCAAATAATCTCAAATGCATAAAAACTTCGGGGGAGGGGGGAGGGAGGATCTGGACCTGCTGATTTTGGTGCAAAGATAGTGTCCGTAGCCAATGGGCTTCTAAGACTGACTTTTCTCGAAAACCAAAGCAGATCATGCTTCCAAATCATTGTAGTCCACATTGTCCATATTGGATAGAGGGTGGAGCTAGGGGCGGAGTTCCAAATTTTTTATCGCTTTTTCTCAAAAAGAGGAAGAAATACACAGTGAGTGCAGATGTAAATGTTCTACGTGTCTACAATGTGATGAGCGACTTTTGAGCTCCTACGATTTCTCCGCTTTCTAACTTGACCAAATGCGCACAGATTTTAGCCAGGGCTCGGCACAAGTGGCTAAGCAAGCTGGATATCGTTTTCGGGACAAAAAGCAAAGGGGGTATTGTGAGGCTAAAAGACACAAAAATTGGGAAGTTTTTTTAGTCGACCTTTGGTTTTTTGAGGGTTTTTTACGTTCAGGGTTTAGGGTCATAGGGGACTTATTAAAAATTCGCGAAAGCTAAGGGGCATTTCGTTTTTTGCATTTTCCAAAAGCCATCTCGTGCTGAACCCTAATTTTAGCTCCAAACTTTGTATGGATTAGCGACTCGGGTAGATTTTTGGTAGTCATGTAAGCATGTTTCATTCTATCAAATGGAGTCCCACTCGTATAATTCCATAATCATATACCTTGGTAGCGTAATCTACTACGCATATGCTTGTAAAGCAGTCTAAGTAGCTTGACCAAGCTGTTGATGAGAAAATGCTGTCGTCTACTTCTGTTAGCAATCAGCTAGTATACGGATTCAATGAATTGACCAGTTTTCAACTTTTGTTATACAGACTCTTAAGTTAATGAATGCTTATAAAGCTCCTATCGTAGTCTTACTATAATGGACAGGAATGATTCTTTTTCTATCATGAATCTAAATTGAGGCCAGTCCCAGAGTAGCATATTTGAAGATCCGCGCAAGCTGCTCAGACGAAAGACTTAGTGGCAAATGTTTGGAACTTTTATTGAGACGTTGTATTAGGAAGAAGAAGAAATCAAAGCGAGTTTTTCCATGAAACTCTTCATCGATTTGATTGTTTAGCATCGTTTCTCTGCGAGAAAATAGCTGCAAAGCTGGACGAGCAACATCTCTGGAAAAGCACAGACGCTGTGGAGAGACTCAATTCTGGCGAGTACAATAATGCTTTGGACGATTTTACTAGTTCTGTAGTAATGAAGCTAATTGTTAAAAATATCTGAGAACTTGATTTTCAAACCAACTTTGGTTCTGACGTAGATTTTCTGACATATTTCTGACAACAAACATATTCAACTAACAAGGGATCCATGTTGAGTCGAAATGACCTTTTCAGACGGGATGTGTACATAGTAGAGAGCATTAAATGCTGATTCCAAATCTACCTTTCTCATATGGTGAACATTTGTGGACGAGGAATAATGAACGTTTCTTCAAATAAAAAAGAAGTCCATTTAGGAATGAGTTGCTAAAATCTTCCTAGCCTTCAAATAAAGAACCAGGTGTGATATGTGTTTTATCTACAAGTAATATGTAAGGTGCTCTGTTAATCATCACTGCTCCATTAAAGCGCTAGAAAAAATATTACGACAATTTTTTTCTTATTTCCACATGTAATTTTTTTGCTCTAACAAGAGCCCAAAACTCCTCGTCCATAAATGTTTCGCATATAGGAAAGGCAGATATGGAATCAGCGTTTCATGCTCTCCAATATGGTATACTTCGTCCCAAAGGGCTACTATCATTTAACATGGTTCCCTCGTAGGGACCACAATCTTCGGATCGTGAAAGTCACAGATTTTTTAGATCGCATTGTTTTCGCTTCATAGTAAAGAAATACTTCAATTTTCACTATCAAGTTGATTTCAGCAATCTCTGCATGTAGTCAATGGGAGCTTTCCGTACAGCTAATGACTGGTCAGACGTGGAAACGACAAATACAAGGCGCATGGGAGGGTGAACCAGTGGAGATGAAATACTTGCAAGGATTCAAAAAAAGGCTGGAGGAGGTTTGCCTGAATACCATCTGATGATTCACGAGTCTGCAACTTATTTTTACTATTGAAATTACTAGATCCGCTCACTGAAACAGCTCGGACCCCAGCTAGCCCTCTTGCTCAATGAACGGGGAATCCAAAGCGAAGTAGAGACTACCATCGAAGCTGCACTTAGAAATACCGCAGTTCTTGACTACAACCCTTTTACGGAACATGTTTGGAATTCAAGAGTAGCGGTGAGCATGCACAAAACTCATCTTTCAGTTATTTCGAAAAAAAAATTTAGATGGCAGAGAAAGCTCTCGATTCTGTCATTGAACGAACCATACCAGTGTTAAAAAGCCGACTACAAGCGAACAAACTAGATAGCCATCATGTGAGCTACCCCCTACTCTAAATGTTGTGACTCAAAGACTGATTTCAGATGACAGCAGAACTGGAAAAGTACAAGAACTTTCTGTGCCGAGCAAAAATCAAAGAAAAGCTACAAATGGAGAGGTAGGTTGCCCCAAAAGGTCGATCTATTGAACGATGCTTATTCAAGAAAAGGGAGTTTTTCGTTGGTATCGTGGAGAAAAAAATGATTATTTAACGCCGAAAGAGGTCATAAAGGAAAACTATAAGAATAATGTACAGAGGAGGAAGGCGAAATACTTATTAGAACAGAATCCTCGAACACAACAATTTTATTCCATTCCAGACCGCCGTTTAGTTTGAGCAGTTTGTTCGTTGTTTTACCAATCAATCTCAAAGAGACGCGAAAACGCAGAAAAGTAAGATGAAGGATTCAAAAGCCTGTCCTTCCGCTTTGTACGAATTTCGAGAATGATAGTGTTGAGACTTGACCTAGAAAATCATACATTTGTCAAGCTTGTCTTCAAAATAGGAAGAAGAATGCCATATCGCGTGCCGTGGCATGATTGAAAATTTGGAAAACTGCGACAAAAACTGAAGCGTAGACCTGAGAGAGAAACTAACCCGAGAATTTGACTCTAGTTGTATCTTACCGTCTACTGTTAGATTATTTATAGCGTTACAATATGAGAAACAAGCCCTAGTACAGTGGAAACTTATATGTAAGATCAACATCTTTTGCCATTTTCTGCTCAAGGTCCTACTAAACCTATCTCTTCTTATGACCCTAACCGAATCCAAATTCCCTTGTAGCCCAATTACCATCCATGCGAAGAAGTATAGCAGTTCTCTGAAATGCTTGGGATTACCTTCAATCAATGAGGAGTTACAAACGGGTGCGGTATCGGTGTTGTTCTGCTTCGTTGTAGATCACTATGCATACCAAATCCAATGATATCTCACGAGAATTGAACATGCTCAATAATTTTCAGAGAAACGCTGCTCAACCAGCTGTCCTCTAAACTTGTCGAGAAAGAGCGGGAAACTGACAATCGCCTCAGTAACTACATCGAGCAAGGAAGGTTCTTAACTGAGATTGCTGCAAAGATTGTGTGGATCCGTCAGCAAACCAATAAGGTATAACATGCTCTTAGTTCCTGTTAGCAATCATTGCCTTGGTAGCTTATAAGTAAGATATCGAGCACCATCATTTTTCTGTCTTGACATTGGAAATTTTAGCTTGAGCATATGCAGTCGCTTTGCTCTTCGCTACTCGACGACCTATCTGGATATGCTGCGCTAACCAATCGAATGAAGTCGTTCAAGGAAAAACTACAGATGGCAGAACAAGAGAGCTTCGATCAGTGGTATGAAATTCAGTTCAATGTCTTGTCTTGTAAAAGTAAAAATTATCGATAGAAGAGTTGAAAGACATGAGGCGTGCCATTGCTGCCAGTCATGAAGCGCTAGCATAATTCCCATTTAAATTGAATTACATACCCTGGGAGACGGCCCTTCTGAACCGCTAGCACTAGCAGCCTAATTACTGCGCGCCTCTGATTGGTCGGCGCTGCCGCGGCGCTTGGGCAAGCGAGGGCTGTGCTGTCGGTAGAGAAGTCTGACTTGGACTGCAAAGGCATTCTCCTGAAGAATGAAACAAGATTTCAAGTTTCCCATGAAACTCAAAAATGTTGTACGTGGGCGACTTAGGTAAATTCTTCAGCTTACACGTGCAGATTCATGGTGTTTTGGAAGGTGGGAAGGGCGCAGAAATAACGAAAGGCTAGTAAAAAAACATGCAACTTTTCCAGCTTTTTCTTCATAATTCAAACATCGTCTCTATCATTATTCGTGTGCCTCGCTTACTTTGGAATGCTCAGTAATCTTTAGAAACTCTAATGGATTATAAGAAAGGCGGAGCAATTAGCGCCGCCCGGGCAGGGTAATCAGCGCTAGGACGAAGCGAGAAGGGCATACACCCACATACCCTACTGTCTTCCGCAAACTTTTCAAAGCTCTATCATCCGCTGGAAATTTATTCCTACTCTTATTTGATAAACATGCTAGCCAATGGAATTCAAATATTTATTGTTTTATATTTCCGCTATTCAAATTTCCAGGTGTCGTGACACCATACAGGCCATTGATGACCCTACCGATTCTATTGCATTAGAGACGAAAGGGAAGATTATGGTGCTTGAACAAAAACGAGGAACTCTCAATGTTAACTATAGCGATCGCCTTCTCAAGCTTTTAAAAGAGGTGGAGATCATATGCAATTTTCTATCGAACCACAAACGTCCAAAATGTCTGAAAATTATGATATTTTAGGTTAGACAACTTGCCAGCCTCGGACTGAATATTCCGTCAAAAATCATTAACTGCGTAAATCAAGCTGAAAAATTCTATAGATTTGGTGTCGTGCTTAAGCAAATCGCTCACTTTTACAACACCATAGATCAACAGATGATACCTTGTCAGCAGGTTCGCTAAGTGAACTCTAATTCTAAGATCTCGAAAGCTAGCTTAGGCTCTGCTTCTCGATGAAGCTATAGCTTTTGAACGACTGGTTATTCCACGAAAGAATGAGGAGAGCGATATTTCTCGTGTTACTTGGGAAGATCCGAAGGAACTCGAGAACTTCATCACTAAACTACAGGGAGCATCGAATAAGCTCTCCACCCATAATAGGTACTGAATAACATAAAGATTAGTTGGTTTTGCGTCTTGGTCATGCGAATTTATTTTATAGACGGCTACGGAATGCACACACGGAAATAGTTCATATGGTTTTGGAATTGGTGAATTTGGATGTACTGAAGGAAGTCAACCGATGGAAGGAGTTGCTTGTTAAAATACGATCTAAGGTAAGAGGCTGAGAGATTCGGAATAAAAAATACTTATATTTGAATCCACAAGTGAAAATCGATGTAGCTACTTTTTCAGAGTGTATGTCAAGAGGCGCAATTCTTATTCCCAAATGGACAGCATATAGCACATATTTAATAGTTTAAGAAGTTCTAGAATTACTTGAAATTTCGAAAAAAATATATTAGATAATTGCATGGATTGTACGATCTTATCGTTTTGAAATCGATTCTAAACAAAATTGCTAAAGGTCACAAATCCATGAAAATGCAGTTATCATAACTTATAATAACGGGCTAAGGATGTTTACGTGTTTTTGTATGTGTGTGTAAGTTTGTCTGTCTGTCACGAAATTCATAGAACGTGTTCCAGCCAACCTCCTGAGCCCCAATTTTGCACAGCGCCTGCCACCAACATGAGAGTCTACTATACAAAAGCACAAGCGGATCCATTGTGTGGATCCCTCAAAAAATGCGCGTCAACCGGATCCACTTGGCTTTTGACCAGTAAAATTGAGTCTGTAGCGCAACTTTTTGCAAATTCACGGATATTTTTGACAAGCTAACGCACAAGCCATGGTCTTTAGCCTAAAAAATTGAACTAAAGTTTATTACTCTGCGAAAACGGCGCCAAAAAGAATTGGTTGCGTAAATGTTCAATTTGCCAAGATTTTACCCGATCGTTTGAGAAGATTTTTGCACCGATATGTAGCCCACGGTGATTATGGCATCTTATCGTGAATATCAAGCCATGGAAAGTCCAAAAACCGGTTCAAATTTGCATTTGTTCTTTCGAGAAACGTTTCGTTCATGCGAAATTACCGATCTCATATGGAAAAACTTTTAGAATGAATAGTTGTTTACAAGCCATTCGTGATAGTCCGCATAGCGCGGTGAGTTCCAATGTCATTATTGTGCGAGAATGAGTAAGGCATACAAATAGTAGGGCCAGTGCGAGCCTCTGCGAAGCAGAGGTGAAGCACTGGTTAGTTATAACAACACAATTTTGTAAATATTTCGGTCAGCTTCCTAGCAAAAATCGTCGAACTTATCAAGCGGTCAATCCAATCTTATCGTTTTGAAATCGATTCTAAACAAAATCGCTAAAGGTCACAAATCCATGAAAATGCAGTTATTAGTTATAACAACACAATTTTGTAGATATTTCGGTCAGCTTCCTAGCAAAAATCGTCGAACTTATCAAGCGGTCAATCCAAACAGCTAGTAAGCCATTGGACTTTACCCAGCACTTTTTGAACACATTCATAGCACGAAACTGGAGGTTTGAGCTGATGACAGCCAGAAATATCACGCCTCTTGACATACCCTTTTACTTAATAGTGACGACTTTTATCTTTTGAAAAACTATCAGAGGACCAAGTAATTCTGTTAAGGCGCCGAAACAAATTACAGGGCTGTGATCGCGGTGAGTCTGCGGCCAGTCCACGCGCATTGTGCTTTCTCAGTCACCTTTCTGTTTCAAATGCTTTTCTACTACCTACTAGATGTTAACTTCCAGTTACCTGAAACATAAATACGTAATTGTTTGAATGGTCTAAGGCTTTGTGGCATCCTGCGTGTGCAATGCCAACAAACTCACCGACTTTCGCAATCACGCAGAAATCTATAGCGAATATGGAAGGAATGCGAAAATTTGCCACATCCTTCTCTGGCGTCGACAAAACTTATGCCTAAGGTTCTTTTCTCTGCGTACAACTTTACAAAACAAACAAACGGGAGCCATCGGAAATGACAAGATGTCTGGTCAAAATGTCTTGCCCACCAGCTGAAATTCGAAATGGATCACAAATTTGATGCGAAGCATTTGCAAAAACAAAACTTTCTTTTTTCCTACCTCTAACGTCTCACTAAACTGTCCTAATGTCCACTGAGGACTTGTAAACCAGTCTTTCTACCTTTCATTAGCGGATCAAGGGTTTTTTCAACAAAAATAATTTTTGTCTTGATCGAAGTGCGATATGTGATAGCTTGTTTGGTTTGGTACTAACTATTTTTTGTGACGTGACTAAAGGGTATGAGATGAAGACAAGAATGGAAGAATGACTAAAAACTTGCGCCATCCAAAATACCTGTAAAAATGGTAGGCCTAAATGATATTGTTTGAGTTTTACCAAAAATTTTTTTAACCATTTTGATATCTAAAATCTTTCCTTTCTCCTTGACCATTGGTTTTCCAAGAATTGAAAAAAAAATATAGCTAACCCAGAGGAGAGATTTGCACATAAGAAAGTTGGCTTGAATTAGCGATTTAAGCACCATCTGTGGCTTTCTTTTCTTTCGTAATAGCCATTTCGGTGATCTTCTCTTTGACCTGACCTGGTAGCAATTGGCAGCTGGCAGCTGGCAAGGCTGACATTTCTCTTGGCTGCCACCTTCCCTTATTAGTATAGAATTTTCTCCCCCAAATACTAAATTTTCCATGATATATCCATGTAACGCTAATCTCTTATATAACTTTTAGCAGCAATTCTTTTTCTCAGATTTCCGAAGAGGAGTTGGCTCATGGCGCATCGAAAGCCAGTTTGCGTCCTTGGCAAATCCACTGGAACTGGCAGCTATACAAGGTAAGGCAGTTTTGAGCCCTCTTCTTCAAGACATTAATCATAGATTGTACTTCCAGGCGCTGCAGTTGCAGTACCAGTGGGGTATCGAAAGCCTTCATGCACAGATACCTTTGATTCACACGCAGCTGGTTTTTGTGTACGTTGGTCGTGATTCAGTTTTGTATTAAAAAAGCCCCATTTCACTGTTCTCAAAACTTCAGGCAACAGAAACTGCAGCTTCGTCCTCCAATCGAGGAGATCCGCTCAAAATATTATAAAGAAATGCGAAAGCTACTAAGCATTCCGGAGAAGTTCAAAGGCATTCTAGATGGTGAACAGGTGAACTTGTATATTATTGGTTCGCTCTAAAGTTCTATCCGTTTCAGAACTTCACTTTCGATTCATCACAATTCCTTTTAGAAATAACAAATGCGAGCGTAAAATAGTGGGTTACAGCCTGCAAATTCTGGCAATTCTGAGCAAATACAAAAATTATTGAAGTAACAACGAGATAATTTACTACCCGAAGATTGCCAAACACCTACAAAAAACCCTATTTTTAGAAACCATAACTCGATTTGAAATATAGAAATTGCACAAGCACTGCTCATTGTGTATTCAATAGTCGGCTGAGTAGTAATGCTAAACTTGGATTTCAGAATTTTTTGTAAATTTTTGGCAAAAAATTCGAAAGGACCCACATATTGCTTTCTGTGGAGTGGCAGAAAATGCTTTTTTGAACTTCGATTTTTCTTGACATGAGATATTTCATTTTTCTTGTACTAAATGTTGAAAACCCCTGCTACATAGAGCATAATTTGTATGATTGTATTGTGCTTGTGCTTTCTATGCAACTTATAAGGATCACGACGACAGGTGATGTTTATGCTAATCATTTATGAATTCAAGTTTCTTTTTATTATAGCTTGATCACCATTTCGTAGCACAAACCCTCAGCAAAAAATATACATGGTTAACAAAAATTTCCTTTCTGCCTTTTGGTTTCAGGCGTAAAAATCTAGAAATAATTGCTTTCAAACTATATAAGCAATGCTCATGAGAAAAGTTTTATACCTTATAAATTAGCAGTCCAAATTAAAGTAGACAAACGGATAGAACTTTCGAAGCAAGTCAGTATATGAATGGCCAAATATTCAAGAAAATCCACATTACAGGCGGGAAAATTCTTTTCCTCTATGCTTTGGAAAAACGCGAACAGATTTCCTAGCGTCTACGAGAAAGCTGAACAACTTATGGGAGCTGTAGAAAACGTGGACTCGCAATTTGCAGTAATTTGCTTATTTTTTATCAGTCAGTGCAGAAATACAAATGCAATACACTCAGGATTGGTTACTGCTGGCTCAAGTAGACCTCGAACAACTGATTGAAGAAAAACTTACAACAGCTTCCGATTGGGAAACGCAAATGAAGTTTTTGAAAACGAAAGGAAGAGAAGCGGAGAAGTTGCCAAGGTATGCATGCAAATTTTGCACCATACATTCATTCCTACCTATTTTACTCGTACAAAAAACAAGATTTTAAGTTTATAATGTTATGGAACATTCTATCGAAACTGATTGCAGCGAGATTCGCCTTGAATGCATCGTAGTCAGCACGGCTGGTGCAAAATCTGCAATTGATGAACTTCTACAAAGGCTGTTTGATACCCTCACCTGGACACTCCGCCTGAGCATCACTACGAAATTACAGACAATTCAACAATTTCTCACACAGGTCAGCGGCTTTTGGTGCTCGTCTTACCTCAACGCCTAAACAATAACGAATTGGTTCCCTTTTTCCTGAATTTTCAATATAACCACAACATAAGCCTTCATGATCCCATTTATCAACATCAATAAACAGCAATCCCATTAATCAACTGCAACGTTCAATGAAAATTTTCTATATCTATCCTGGGACCAACACATTTAAAGGCAGTGTCCCGGCAAAAACTCGAGAAGACCGCTCCGGAAGCTGGAAGCGTGAATTCACAGTGGAGAGGACCCCGCCACTTGGTGTTTCCCTCCTGCGCTAGGGCCCTTTCTTGCCGTTTTCGCGCTTTCCAGCGTAGATTTTCTGATTCAGCATGGCGAATAAGCCCGAGTTAGCACAAAAACTCAAAATCTTCCGCTAGCCGTCCTAACATCGCTCCCGGCCAAATGCGAATGATTGACTTGAAATTGGCAGCGAGAAGATTGCTCCGAAAGCTGGGAGCATAAATTCACAAAGGGGAGGACCCCGCCCACCTGCTATTCCCCTCCTGTTAGAGCCGTTTTTCGCCGTTTTCGCGCTTCCCAATGTGCATTTTCGGACTCACCGCAGCGAATAGGCCTGGGTATGCACAAAATCTCATAATCGAGTTTTTTGCCCGGACACTGCCTTCAAAGGCACCGTCCACCCTAAGTTAGGATAGTATGACCCCCTATCAAGCTAATGCCCAAGTGACGGTGCAACGTGTCGCTTTAAAAGCGAAAGAATCGCTCCGGAATAAAGGGAATCCACGAGATCCCTCAACCGGCACCCCCTCCCCCTCCAGTAATCCCTGCCCAACCGTGCGCGCTCATCCAATCCGTTTCGGGGAACCGGCCTGGTTCTCTTAAATGGAGAAACAAAAACATGGTAGTCGAATATGTGGGTGCCTCCAAAGAGATGGAGGCATCAGAACCTGAATCAGCAAAATTATTGGGCACAAATCAATCCATTACGTCAATCAGTAGGCGTGCGTAATCATCTTTGTCCCCCTTTTTCACGGAAAGAGGGAAGGTGAGAAAAGTATATAGCTAATATGAACAGAAATAGTTGATATGATTGGACGTTCTGAGGTCAAAAAATATTTTCAGTCTTTGAGACTAGATTCAGTAAGCACTCTACATTGCGTAGAGGTACGGTAGGTAAAAGAATTCTCATTGACGCTAACATCAAGTATAATGATTTGATGTATCGTAGATGCTGCAAAAGTTTCAGACAATATTTGGACTAAACGTGAATTTGAGATTTTTGAGAAGTTAAAAAGCATCTCACGGTGAAATTCCGCTAGAGCAAGTTTGTAAGTAACAAACTCCTTGTCCTTTCAATTGATCCTTTCCGCCACTACTGTTCATGCATACAAAGTATCCACTTGCAGGCAATAACGGTTCTGAGCTCCAGACCTCAGTCTATCGATGAGGTTGCCGAAGCGAATGCCCGTCATACTGAGTATGGAAAGACGAATAAAGAGGTTTGCAGTAGCTCGAAATTCAGACTTTATTCTCAAGAAACCGAGAATTTCCAGCTCAAAGCCTCCTGGAATGTACTGAACGAGCAGCACACATTGCTGCGCTCTGTAGCTGGTAGTGGAGTTGATCAGATGAATTCGTTGACACAAGAATGGGAGAAGTTTGAGCTGATGCTTGATACCCACCAACAAATGATCAAAGAGCAGGTAGAGTTGTCAAAATCTGAATTATGTAGACTTTGTCATGTATATTGCTTGTAAAGGTGGAAGTGCTGAAATCAAATGTGGACATCAGAGCGAAAACATTGAATGATGAGACGGAGAAGTTGTTCGCAAGATGGAATCAATTTAAACCGAAAAGCGATGCGCTGCAAGGCGATCGGTAATTCTTCTTTGTTTCTCACTATATGTAGGGCGAAAAAGTCCTTTGAAGAAAAAGCTTACTTTCAGACAAGCACTGCTCAAAGCTATAGAGTTCATAAAAGAGAAACGAGCCGAATATGACGAATTGGTTGTAAGCAGGGAAAAACTTGAGTAAGTTTTTAGCACCCTAATACCTGACTTATAGGGCCTTCCCGCAAATAAACCCGTCTGAAAATAACTCCAATACAGATAAGACCGCTTCGGACTTATCTAACAAGATTCTAGGGTAGTAATGGAAAAAACGACGTATCTGTTAGGCGTTTTGGGGTATTTAACTCACATTCTAGTAGTCGAGAAAAGTCATGCTAGGTCAAAAAATAATTATGATGCTGCTGCTTAAATTTTTTCGCACCGTGTAAAATGCTTCGCCATTCGATCAAATGAAAGGCCAATTTGATTGTGGTGAAGTATCTCATAGCACTTATATCTGTACTTGTACCCCGGCCATTGAAGCTACTGAAAGTTTTCATTCAGGAAGGAAAGCGATCAGTTCGATCTCAAAAGACCTGATTTTTCTGTGCTCGATCAGCTGGGAGCAGACATACAAGAGTATGAGGTATGATTTTTTTGAAAGAGAGACGAAGAGAAAACTGAAGTTATTTTTGAAAAATTTATTACTTACAGAACAACTGGGTTATTTTCGAGGAATTTAACACTGAACTGCAATCTCTGGCAAGTGAGGAATGGATAGTATTTAGGTTTGTTCATTAAATGTACGGATGAATTCTTTCGACAAAAATTCTGGTTTTCTGCAGAGGCCGAACCTACTTGTTCGATGAGTTCCTACAGAAATGGTTGGAAAAGCTGAAGTCATCACAGCAGACGCATATGGCAGTTCGATTATTGAAGGACATTGAGTCATTCAGGGTGGGTTGATGAGGAAGCCAATGATCTTGCCTAGTGTAGGCAAATAATGTTTACGGTCAATCAAATCACTTGGCTTCAAAACTTCGGTCTTTAGACATACTTCTCAATAAGCGCACACGTAAAAAAATAAGCGCTGGTGAATCATTGCCCCTTTTTTGTCATTTGAATAATTCGTGGCTTTGAAAGTCAGTTTGAACGAGATAAGCTTATACATCAAAAATTCTGGCGTTAGTAGATGGCAAATAAGAGGGAAGATGGCTTCTCATCTTCTGCAGATCAGTTTTATAGGAGTTTTATAGGAGTTCAGCAGCTGCCTCAAATTCTGCCGTGGTGAAGTTCTGAGTCCTGATCATTGGCTAGAGATGTTCCGACTGCTACAGTTGCCAAGGTTTGTTTATTTGGAAAATTACTTTTCCTGAAAGAGCAGTGGATTTCAACGAAGCGCTAGCAATTCTTGTTAAAAAGGATAACGTATTTCTTCTAATAACACTATCAACCACGTCCTGCTCCCTACTGGACAAAAGCAGATGACCTAATAAAGTAGAATGAAGACTTAGAAAAATGAGATATCTTCTTGACATAATGCTAGGTAGCTTCGTCAACGCAGCTCATTCATATCAATTGGCAAACTTTGTATTATTTTAGAGGAACTACACTAGAAAAGCTCACTTTTGGCGATCTGATTTCTGTGGCACCAAATGTTGTAGCGAATGTGGAGCAACTGAAAGCTCTCAATGCAAGGGCACAGGGCGAAGTTACAATTAGAGAGGCCATCCAAGAGCTTGAGATGTGGGCAGCACAGGTTAGTTTCTCAACAGCGAATATGAAGAATTTTATGACAACTCTTTTATCCGGTTGTAGTCAATAAATCAGTCTTTTAGAAATCATAAAGGTCCCCAGCCCAAAAATTTCTGCGCCCTCTTTCTTGAATGACTGTTTGATATAGTAACCCACTTTCTTTCAACAATATTCATTTTTAAGAGGAGTTAAGATTTGAGTACCTTGATTTTTGAGTGGAAGTCGAGAGCTCAATTAGTCTGTCCAAACGGCAGCTCATATTAGCGATTCTTCCGAGAAAATCTACTGAAACTTTTGTCCATTACAGTATTTGAAGGTGCTTTCCGGGCCGCTGGGAGAGGGTACGGTGTGGGAGACAAATTTAAAGTTTCCGCCATTACTCGCCGCTTAGGCAATGGTTTTAAAGGATTTTCAATTTGGGCTTTTCACTCAAAAGTACTTTATATGGGACAAGGATCCCAGGAACCTGCTGTATCTAAGAGTTTACAAAAATGCACACAAGTTCTCAACGCAGGTCTGATGAAATCGGACTCTAAACTCAAATGAATCCTCCTTCTGATCTTTCACTCTCGTTTTTAGGCTGAATTCTCATTCACTGACTACAAGCACTCGAACGGCAGTAACATGAAAGTGATTCGAGAGTGGAAAGAGGCAATTAACTCGGTGAGTAATAATATTCCCACTAAGAATTTATGATGCCTTTTCTTTCGACTTACCACTAAGCAATGTCATAACATGCTTCGCAATTTTTTCAGGTGAAAGACAGCCAGGCCTTACTCCAGTCTCTCAAAAACTCCCCGTTCTACGCACAATTCAGCGATAAGACGAGCATCTGGGAAAAGAGGTTGGTTACTTTTGACTGGAACGACAGGCAACAATCAAAACCAACATCTTATAGGCTTTCGGATTTGGATGAGTATTTGCCACAGATGAATGAGATCCAAAGAAAGTGGATTTACTTGGAACCGATATTTGGGAGAGGAGCGTTGCCTGCCGAAGCTAGTCGCTTCGCGCGGGTAGACAGCGAATTTCGCCTAATTTTGAGCGGTATTTTTTCTTTTTGATCGGGCATCTGCCTAAATCCATACGATGTAGAGATGCTCGACTTCATTTTAACAATCAACCCTCAATGTCTTCTACATGCAAGCTAGCATACAACCAATTCTTCAAGAAAATAAAAATAGTTGAGCCTTCTACGTAAGACCAAACATTTCAAAAACTGCGTCTATTGACCGGAAAGCAAAAGAAACCAAATACTATACTGCAATGTCCTTTCACTATCCGAGAATGAACCAGAAGAAACATCTGTGCTGATTACGGCACTTCAAGAAGGTATTTGCAGATACGGTACGTGACGCGCGTTTGATCTCGCTCTGCAACCGACAATCACTAAGGAAAAGCCTTGAACTTGTCATTGATCAGTTGAATCGCTGTCAGAAAGCACTCAACCAGTTCTTGGAGGTGGGCAAGGGTTGACTGCTTCTGACTCACTGGTTAGAAAGATTTGTTTTAGGAGAAACGCTCTGCATTCCCAAGATTCTACTTTCTCGGGGATGATGATCTCCTTGAGATTCTTGGGCAGTCCACGAACCCGACAGTTATACAGTCGCATCTGAAGAAGCTGTTTCAGGTTGGCTAAAATTTTATAGCTTCCGTATATCTTTGAAGACATGAACAAAATTTAGGGAATTGACAAAGTGGTATTTGGCCAATACAATGAAACGATCACAGCCATGCTTTCTGCACAAGGCGAAGTCGTACAACTGAGCAGACCTGTCCGCGTGGTGGCTCAAGTCGAGGTACGCTTCTGTGATTGAGTGGAATACGCTTATACAGGATGTCCCAACATAATATGTGAGACTTTAATTTCTAGTAACTTCTCTGTTGAAAAAAACTTTCGCCTTCCTTTGTCATATTGTAGAGCTGGCTTCAACTTAGCTTTACAGTATGGTGCAAATCAACGACCACTCTTCATTGTTATAGGTACGGTAAGAATTACGAAGAGGGTTCTGAGCCAATAAAGCCTATTTCGCCTCGAAACCACATCAAACAACCTAAAAACTTCCAGAGGGCCGTTGACACCAAATATGAACTTTGCAGTTTACTGCAGTGCCTCGTTCATAAGTTAAACCGCGATAACTGTTTTGAACAATGCTCTTTGCAAATGTGATTACACCACTTGAAAACCTTTACAAACTCGTGAAAAGTTGAGTAATGGAATCACTGCGCTTAAAAGTCTGGTACAATTTTTCGAAGCACGACTATTCCACAATGACTTCATAAGCTAATAATTTCTGCGGTATGTAATCCTATAATAAAGAACGGTCGCTGTGCAAACATAAAACCTAAGTTGAGGCCAGCTCTACATTTGATTGCAGAACAAGGCGAAGGCTTTTTGAACAAGAAAGTTATTGGAGATCAAACGTTCGACACATTATTTTGAGATATCCTCTAGAAACTTGTTCGAAATTGGGAGAAGCTGAAACGTAGGGTCTACCGTATGTGAAGTTCCGTTCGCCATTACTCTATTGAAATTGAAGACGGAATTACACTCACAACATCTTGTCGCCGCAGATCTTCCAATATATCGCGCTACCTTAATTTGCCAGTGTACGAAAAGTGGGTAGAATGACGAAGCATCATTAGAAAACTGAGTTCTATGAATTGAATATGCGTTGAAATCAACTAGAAAGATTGCCGTGTTAAATCACAATCACATCGCTGGTGGCATATCAGAGAGATACGAGAGGTATGTAATGCAAAACTTAGGAGGTGCCAACCACAGTCTCACATTCATTTGCTGAAATGGGAGCATATCGCAGAATTACTGTAGTTATGCCGTGAGAGGTAAAATCTTTGGTCTCAAAAGAACGCTAAAACACATGAAAAGAGAAAGAGCTCGGCTTATATATTTCTGCGTAAAGAGACTTCGACTTCGCAACTCTACCGTTAAAAAGTTTCTGAAGATCACCACCTCCCCATCGACTAGCGTACCTTACAGTGTGGTACCAAAGTAGGGTTTGACTGCCCTTCTTGAAATGGCAAGTTAGATAAGTACTAGGCAGTTTCATACATATGCGAGCGATTTGACCTCTTATCCATACTATTCCAGTATCTCTGCAGTATTCTTCATTGCTACGAACGCATGTAATCATTAACATCAGCACACTTTGCATACCTAACGTATTTTTGCAGTACGGACCAGGATAACTGGATGTGATTCTGATCAGCACACGGTATCACACTTGGGAAAATTGCAAAATTCAGATACTATCAAGTTGACACAATAGCTCCTTTGCACCATTTTCAAAAATTCATAACCTCCTTCCGAACCCATTTGCACATACTTATTTTTATTTAGAAGAGGAGATCAGTTCCTCCAATGATAACTGAAGTATGTTTGCTAGAAATAACTGCGGAGATCGACGTAGGAGAAAAATTACTCAATTCTCGAATTTCCTGAGTTAGGTTAGGTCGCAAATAAGAAATTTCAACAAAAACCGGAGCAATCGGTACAGCTCTTACCATCTACCTTTTGTAACTGAGCAAAGTTTGGGCTCTTTGAAGGTTTTTCTAAGAAAGGTTGTGATTTACGAAAAAATGCCAAAATAATCAAATTAGCTGTTTTGTTCTTGCTGAAAAATCACAACCTTTTTATGGAAACGTTCAATCAATGCAAACTTTGATCAGTTAGAGAGAGAAGTGAAAAATGTACAATACCGATTGCTCCGATTTTTGTTGCAAGAGTCAGAATTATACGACCAAGCACAGGAACTTCGAAAGAATAATTTTCTTCTCCGGCTTCGATCCAGGTATTATATCAAAAGGCGCTTTAAGTACTATTAGAAAGAATATGATTTCGTTTCTTGACTAAATATATGTACTTCCAATTCAAGAGGAAGGAGATTTCGAATTTTTGGAATGCTGCGAACGAACTTTCTCTTAACTGGATATTACCTGGCGGCTTCCTTTTTTTCCTTCGTACCTGCCTTACATAAATACACTATGATGGTGCATATGAGCCGCACAAAATTAAGTAGCTTTATGTTAGCCTTTAATTATAAACAATAAGCTCAGAAAGAAATGTTTTGGTCACCGCAGCCAATTTCGATAGCGGTATTGTTACCCGCTCATGAACGCATTTTTTCAACCCCTTACACAGGTATGGCTACAAGATTTGTCCGAGGAGATGCGCGCAACGTTGAGAAAGTTATCATCAGAAGCCATCAGGGCCGAGAATCTTGACCCAGCTAGGTAAGCATGCCAAATGTTATTTCCAAAAACGCTCCGATTCTCATTCAGGTATCCTTCGCAAGTGCTTTGCCTAGCCGAGCAAGTGAAGTTCTGCAGAGACTGCGAACAGGTAGAGATTATATCCATTCTGTAGATTCGAAAAAGTCTAATTTGCCAGGTTCTCGATGGAGCGCGGGATTTCAACAGATTGAAATCAGCACTGCAAGAACAACTTCGCGCTTACACAAACACTAAAGTGGAAGATGTCGTACTTGATCTCAAATTGAAGGCGCTCATACTTGATCTCATTCATCACATCGATGTTGTGGACCAACTCACGCACAGTAAATCCGAGTAAGTAACATGAAGTGACATGCGAGGCAGGGGATGTTTAATGATTAATATTCTACGCCGAATTCGTCTAGATAACCCAGCTTTTCAATGATTGACACTTTTGGTAAAGTAAATGAGGAACTAAGGGCAGGAAACTTCCGTTGGCAAAATCAACACTTACTTTTACTATATCTCCAAAATGCGCATGTTTCCTCACTCTAACTCTAACGAACTGTGCAGTCGAACTTGTGTGTCTAGGTTTATGTGGAAGCTGAACAAAGGCCCTACTGAGCCATTGTGAAACGGCTATAGCTTGTAAGTGTCAAATACGACTAAAGGATGCCCCTCTGGAAAGAGTACGGTGCCAAACCAAGAATTGAAAAAGGTTTTTTTTCGGATAAGTGAGCTGTGCAAAGCTGGAAAGACAAGATTAGGACGTATTACTTGAAAAGATCAGAACTAGCCCTGGATACGATTCTGCTTTTTCAGTTCCACCCAATGTTGGACATGGCAGAAACAGCTACGCTTCTACTTGGTAGGAGATGCTGTAGTGGCTCGACAAGTGAACAGCGAATTTGCCTACACTTATGAATATCAGGTACGATACACTCAGAATTTTTCACTGTAGTGGAGGACTATATGTCGCCGAAAGGTGGTGTTCCTACGAGGACATCTTCGACAAAGCGCGGCTTCATACATTAGTTTACAGAATCGCACCAGCTCCGTGCGAGGTGGAGCCGATCGCGTACATGTAGTCCCCTACCCTTTTCATTGCAATCTCTTCTAATAAGTAGTTGCCCTTTTTTGCAGGGTAATACCGCAAAGCTGGTTCATACACCACTGACAGACAAGTGCTATCTCACGCTTACCCAAGGTTTGCTGAAGAATCTATGAATTACTTCATGATCATAGGCTTCAATCACTTTACAGCTATGTACATGGGCCTCGGTGGAAATCCATATGGACCTGCTGGTACTGGCAAGACTGAATCTGTGAAGGTAAAACAGAGGGAAGAACAGATAAAAGAGATTTTTACACTAGTGAAGGACATATAGGTAGAAAACTGAGTAAGAGCAGAGTATGTAAGCTCAGCATGTGACTATCAACACGTCGACGACGAGCCAGATTTTTCAGTTGTCCCTATGGAGGGGTGTTTCTATGATGCATTCTTTCTATGTAAAAGTATAGATATGCAAATGGGCGAAGCAGCTCCACCCCCTTGTGACAAACTCTGCCTGCTCGGCAAAAATGCAGGAAATTGCTTTTTGTTGCAGTTTCAAAAACTCGTGCAAATTTCGGCACTTAAAGCGGGCGAGGCTTGCCAGCAAGGGGGTGGGTCCTGACGGGGTCGGAACCGCGGTTGATGTCGCTAAGTTCAAAGGATCTGTGACCTCTTCTATGCGCTTTGAGCACAAATCTGCTTGTTGAAGGCAACGGAGTGGGCGGGGTTTGCCAAAGGAGGTGCGGTGTCAAATTAAACTAAAAAACAAAAAAAAACTTCTGGCCCTTAACCGGTCATGTGAACAAAAATCAGAACGGTTGGGTCGTTAGAAATAGTAGTTGGGGTACCGCGCACCATTGTGCGGCACTTTCGCCAACAGTTGACAGAAAGGATCAAAAATATTCGCTTGAAAACAAGAGATTCTTGAAATTTCTCGAGATAATTGAAGCTGTCTTTCATGCTTGCTTTTATTCCTCATTCCTCAACACCCAGAGTTCTATTCGCAGAAAATGATGGAACCCTAGATGAACCCCAACTTGGGAGCAATATTTCTGTTACACAGGCTCTGGCTTCACTATTCGGACGCCAAGTGCTGGTGTTCAACTGCGACGAAGGAATCGATGTGCATTCGATGAGGTGCGATAATACTGATGACTTTATTTCATTCCTTTAAAAATAATGAGAACGAAGTATTTTATCTATTCAGTCGCATCTTTATTGGCATCGTGCAATGCGGAGCTTGGGGATGTTTCGATGAGTTTAACAGGCTAGATCAGGTGATTCTTAAGCTGATTTACAAAAGAACTATCAACTGCAAGTTTAGACTGTGCTATCAGCTGTTTCTATGCAAATCCAAACAATCCAAGACGTGATCAAATCGAAAAGTGGAAACTGCACACTTGGAGGAAAAACGGTAAAGATGTAAAATTAGAAATGCCACCGTATCCATAAACACGATATCATGTTGGCTAACAATTCTTGAGTAGCCCAGATCTTTACATTTGACCATCTATGGCCATGCAAATGATTAGAAACATCAAATCAAACTTTGCGTACCACTCGTACACTTCACACCAAATTTATCTCATCTTTTGGAGTTTGATTTTTCGAAAATTTGATAAGAACCTTTGTGCCTTCCTGCACTATTTCGTCATCAAGAAAATGCTTTCTGAGAAAGCAGAGTTGTACGTCCGATTCTCCTTGGTTTACTCTTTCCAGCCGAATTACTCCTCTGCGCATTTATTCAGCTCAAAAACGGGACTCAGGAATTCCAAATTATGATCTAGAAGTTTAGATACAGGGTGATTACTGTATTTCGTCACGACAGAAACTTCTACGTAATGAATATGTGATAGCAGAGGTTTGCAGCTACCCATTCATAAAAAAAGCTGAGTAACAGTTTTCAATTGTAATTTTGAAGTTACATGTCAAAAAGAAATTATTAGCAACCTGATAATTTACAGGCAACCGTAGACTCAAATGCAGCAATCTTTGTGACCTTGAACCCAGCCGGAAAGGGATATGGAGGCAGACAGAAGCTGCCCGACAACCTGAAGCAACTCTTCCGTCCAGTAGTTATGTCCATTCCGGACAACGATGTGATCGCTGAGACCATCTTGTACTCCGAAGGATTCACAGAAGCGCAGACGCTAGCACGAAAGATTGTCACGATCTTTATGTTGAGCAAGTTCGTAAAAACAAAACATTTGAAAAATTTGCTAGATGTTATCGAACTTTTTTAGGGAAATGCTGTCCGCACAACAGCACTATGACTGGGGTTTGAGAGCTCTTAAGGTAAATTATTTATGTCTTGTTTGCTTTTATACCAGTAATATTCTTTTCGCAGTTATTCCAGCTGAAGATCTGTCAGTTATGCATAGGTGATACGGCAATTCTAGAATTAATAATTTCAAGGTTGTTCTCCGTGGCTGTGGCGATCTCCGTGCCGCAAAACCAGATGCAAATGAGACGGACATTGTAGTTCAGGTAAGAAATAAACCGACGGTTCGCTTGTATTAGGTTGTAAAGAAAGTTCCCCTAAAGCTTCCCCCTACTGAACCGTATAAAAAACTTGGTGATTGGTGACAAAGTCCGACCGAGCGCAGAAAAAATGCGTGTGAAAATGAAATTTCCAAAAGTGCCCGCGAACTTTCTTTACAACCTAATATATGAAGGCTTCGCCCGGCCGTAAATCGAAAGTTATCAACAACGGAGTTTACTTATTCAACCATTTTGCGTGTGCCAAGCAGTTTTGGGATTACTGAATGGTCACTGAACATTGTGTTACGGATCATCCGTCTCTCAAAAAGTGAAAGTTTGTCACAGTACATAATCTATCCATGAATATTATGTAAAGTGCCCTTTTGGGCACCATATCGTAGTAAAGTTCATACACTATCGTCCCAGTTGCAAATTTTGAGAAATTGGATATTTCTAACGCCCAGCTTGAAATTCATTCGGAGTTATTTCAAAAATTTGATCGAAAGTTGGTTGCTACAACTCTTATCCCTGAACTGTCCCACAAAAAATATTGTGCTAATTAGCGGCTTTGATCAAAACTCACTTTCAGGCGCTTCTTCTTAACACACTGTCGAAACTCACGGCAACAGATTCGAAACGATTCAAAGTGCTCATTGACGATATCTTCTCAACAGTGAATAAGGAGATGGCTTCTGTAAGGCTATGTTCCGCGAAGCTTGATGGCTCACATGGCTTGAGCTAATTAACTGCTGTTTTAATATGAAACCATCCTCATCAAGAATCAGCTCTTTGATTTAAATTGCTTTCAGTTTGGTGACCTCATCGAGCCATTGAAGACAGCGGCATCGGAGATGAATATAGAGTTGTCGGAGAAGCAGGTATAACTTAGCTAAAATAAGACAGACTACAACAAGACCTGCGAAGAATTTCGTATCAATTTACTTTCTGCAGTAATTTCCTATCTCTCCTTTGGTTTCGCGAACTAATAACAAGTATTGTCCTCATCTATTCCAATTCTCCCGATTTTCAGCGACAACTAAATTGCATTTTAGATGCAAAAAGTGTTCCAACTGTACGAGCAGCTACGCCAACGTATTGGGGTGGTGATAGTGGGTCCGACAGGAGCTGGGAAGTCGACGGTGTGGCGAGTGCTCAAAAGAGCTCAGATAATTGCTGGCGTCGCACTCAATACTGTCTCTTTCAATCCAAAAGCTATGGAGAGAACAAAGGTAATGCGCAAGTGGTCTTATTTGCGTAAGGAGTCTGTAAGCAGGAAATTTCCAGTTGCTCGGCCACATGGACATCGACACGAGAGAATGGTCTGACGGTATTTTGACAATGGTTGCCAGAGAAGTAAGTTTCTTCTAGGCTCAACTTTGTAAGAAGGTTATTGACAATTGATGATATATTATAGGTCATCAAAGATACGAGTGTGCATACATGGATTGTCTTTGACGGTGATGTTGACCCAGAGTGGATCGAAGCTTTGAATTCAGTACTGGACGATAATCGCCTGGTAAGTAAATACATGTTCCTTAGGTGGAGGCCAAGCTTATAACTTAGATGCTTCTGCAGGAAGCGGCTTAACTAAACTAATGTCATTAGGCGTCACGTTGGAGGGAAGTCTAGCAGGAACAGTATCCGCGTTGTTGGGAACAATGATAGTTTTGAGGAGATGACAAAAAGGCCTCGCAGAGTGAGAGACGTGTTAAGAAGGCCTTGCCAATGAAAAAAATCTTGTTATGGCGAAATCGCAGAACGATGTGATTTTCCCCAAACGTGACACCAAATGACGGTAGTTGCGCATCATGCTGAAGCAGCTAATCGGCTAAGTCTGGCGCCTGCGTCAGGTCCTAATCTAGCGAAAAGTAAACTCTCGAAAAACCAAAGCTTCTGAAATGACAACAAACTTGCTGTTATTGCAGCTAACCATGCCTTCTGGAGAACGTATACAGTTTGGCACCAATGTCAACTTCCTCTTCGAAACCGATTCTCTCGAATTCGCATCGCCAGCGACTGTGTCAAGAATGGGCATGATATACATGAGGTTTATTTATTTATTCGCAAGTGGACGCCCAACACCTGTTATCGGAATTACCAGTGCTTTTACCTTGTCCAGTTTCCCGGTAAAATTTCGTTTTTCAAATTACACCTTTCCGGAGGCTTCTCACTATGAGGAAACCATTGGGCTTTTCAGCGCATGAAAATGGTGAATGAGCTTTTTCCCAAGCTTTGCGGGTCCGCATTCAGTACAAAATACGTCTAAGCGAGCGAGTCCGAAAGAAGGAAGCGGAGTGCGGAGAACTTCCGGCGCATTTTCACTGAACTTGTAAACCTTCGAAGAAGTCTCATTTTCGCCATTATTATGCGCTGAAAAGCCCAGATATGAGTTCTCGATGGCGTGAAAGCTCCGAATAGGTGAAAAACTGGAAAGCGACGTTTTGCCGAGACGCTGCCTTTACTGAGATTTGGTAAACGACATTCAGTCAGAGGCAAAACATTTGCTCATTCAGTGTAGAAGATGTTTCTGCAAGGGAAGTGGTAGCAAGATGGGTGAAGACACTTTCTGACGAACACGTAGATCTCCCGGATTGGATTGAACAACACTTTTACAGGTAGCAAAAACAAATAGATAAGAAAATAGCTACTTCAACCATCGAACATTCTGAAGATGCTTGCACAACTTAGCTCTGAGTTATTCACCCCTAGCTCAAACTTGCTTTTAAGATGCTACGATTGGTGCCTCGCAACTGGACTCACTTATGGCATTGGCAAAATTGCTGCTTTGGAAAATGGTCTGAGCCACTTAAGGTGAACCAAATTTCGTTACCTCAGTAATCTCAAAGTCACAATATTACCAAGTCGATTACAGAGGCAGCAAATCTACGCAACAATTTCTCGTGAACCTTTTTCGCGGCTTGTCATCAGTCATAGATCCAGAAAAGAAGAGAGACTTTGCAGCGGTGGTGTTCCAAGGTGATCCCACAAAATGTTAATTACAAGCATCACCAAAAAATCTTTTTATAGGCGTTCCCTTGCCAGACATGGAGAACCCTGAGCTGGTTTACTTCGACAGCAGAACAGATTCCTTAATGAGGTAGGGTTCGATATGCATGCGTTTTGGAAAGGAACGAACCTTTGTAGATATCAAGACGATGTAGCCATGGGCGTCAAATTGGACGATTTGAAAAGAGACGTGAAACCGTTTATTCCGACAGCTTCAGCACAGTCCAATAGAGATGCGGTAAGCGGGAAGCCTGATGAGATTTTTAGCATTTCCAATGGAGATTTCCTGACATATGAACCATTAAATCTTCCTTGTAAGCAACACTCAAAAATGTTGCAATTTCATGCATGAGTATTAAAGTTGAAAATGCAAGCAACTTTTGTATAGTTGACGTTTTCCAACTTTATCAAACAATGAGGAAAGCAAAAAGCTACAGAATCAGTTGCGCATCATCACAGACTGGATATTTGAGATTGCAATAATGAAATAATGAGGAGAAAATTCTGGAACCTTCTAGCACCACCCATGAGGAAGCCAATTCCGTTATCTAATGGCACATGATTGGTTCTGACTAATAAAATATCTTGAATCTTTTTAAAGGACTGATTTTTCTTCAAAATAATTTGCATCCATTTCGATACACTTCCGAAAACCACTACCTAGTTAAATTTCTGATGTGACAAATGAAGCTAACCTCAAAGCAAGAATGTTTTCAAAAAAATTAGTTTCCCAGAAAAAAAACTTTTAGTGTAAATTATTCTACTGGTGAATAGAAAATTTCATGGGTTTATTAGTGTGGTACGAAAATTCTAGTGACTGTCATCAGATTACAAGCTTTTTCTGGAATTACTCGCACTGTCTCCATTGCTCTAGGTACTCTCTTGGCTATCGGAATCAAATCGTCAACCATTCATTGTCATTGGACCCGATGGTTGCGGTAAAGAAGAGCTACTGAAGCATTGCTTTACCGAAGATAACCAGAGTCAGCTGGCAATCGTTCACTGCACTGCTCAGAGCCGGTAAAAATGATCTCAACAATTTGAGGTCAAAAATTCTCAATTTGCACTTACTCTTCAGAGCATCAGCAATTCTGCAATGCCTATCGCAGCACTGCGTTCAGACTAGTAGCGCTTCAGGAAGAGTGCTCCGTCCAAAAGATAGGCCTCAGTTGATCCTCTACTTGAAAGGCCTCAATCTACCAGCACCTGACAAGGTTAGGTTTCTGAGTTCCCCACTGTTGGAGAAAGTCTGAAAAAATGTTTTAGTATGGAACGAACGAGATGTTGGCTTTTCTCACCCAACTACTTACTTTTCAAGGTTACTATGATGAGCACCTTGACTGGATTGGCCTAGAAAATATCCAGGTACGTGAAATATTCTTCAAGGCTCTAACTGATTTTCCTGGCTCAGATATCCGCCTCAATGGCCCCATCGGTAACTCAATCCAGTATTCCACCTCGTCTAGTATCGCAGATGAGGACACTTGCCATCGGATATCCATCTGAACAAAATCTCAATGCCATCTACTCTGCATATTTGATGCCTATCCTGGAAGTAAGCTGTAAATGCTCGCGACAAGCGGCTGACTGATCGTTTTTAAGGTTCCACTAGGGTCTTCTGCTCGAATCGAAGCGATAGCGTCTGTTATGGTCCGATTGTACGAGGAGATACGCGCAGCATTTCGACCGGCTGATAGAAGTTTGTACGCTTATCAAGATGGATGAAAAATTTGTATAGCAACGTACTTGCCGTTTACAAATTGAAAATAATTCAGGTCGAATTTGGATTTCGTTATAGCGTAGCGAACCCATCTATCATAAGTAAAACTAAAGAAGTTCATTATTCACAGTCACATGAGCTGTACAGCACCAGCCTACCATCAATATTTGAAATCAGAAGAATAAATTTCTCTCTTCAGGTCATTACATCTTCACACCGCGAGATCTGACGAAATGGACTATGGGGATATTGCGACATGAGCTTACTGATGAATCAAAAGTGGTGGAAGCTATAGCTTTCGAAGCAAAAAGAATATTCAGAGATCGGTTTGTTGACGTTGTAATCATTCACGTTATCTATATCCTCGAATCAGCTAGCCCACAAAAGCTACTTATTTCACTCTAATATACCTCACCAAAATGTTTTTGATCACTAGATTACGAATTTATGAGCACTTTCATAATTAGTCAGAGTAAACAGTTTCGCCCTGTAGGCGCAAATACGAGAAAATTGTCAAACCTCACTGGTATGTAAATTGTTTGATATTTTGTGTTTATGAGAAGGGTGACATGATAGAAAGATGCTGGGCGGACGTCCCTCTTTCCCCTCCCCCCCCCCCCCTCCTTCAAAGTTGTCTATTTGAGTTAAATCGCTCAGATAACTTGTTTTCAATTGTAAAAAGACTATTGTTTTCCAGAATTTTTCAAAAGTTTAATTAGATTTGCAAAAAAAATTTCTAGGGCGGATTACGGCCCCCAAAAAATTTCTAAAAGCGTTTCAAAAATTTTCTGGAGAGCGTAGCTAAGACCAAGTTCCTTTAGTCGGAACTTTCTAACGCACGCCTCCCCACCCCCCCCCCCCTCTCTCCATTCTTCATCTCTGAAAAAGTTTTGGGAACGTCAATGTCTCATTGTGATTCGACAATTTAATTTCAGACTTGCTGACGATGAACATTTGCTAAAATTCGACGAGCTGCTGGCATATGCTATACCAGCCGTCAAGAGAGATACAGGTGCGTAAGCGAAGAAAGTTCATTGATACTTATGTGGGTAAAATCAAACCTTCTAAAACGAGAAGACTTTTCTGGGAATTACGCGCTGTGAAGCTTTCCTTACTAACTACTTAGAGACCCTAAGTGAACTTTGTAGTTTCGACATTCATAGGACATAAAAATGATATCAAAACAATTTGCTAGCAGCTATGTACTAAAAAGCAATGATCTACTGATCGTAGATGATTGTAGACAGAGTCTTCATATCGAATGGCACAGTTATACCTCCACAAAATGTCATTGGACTACCACTGGTCCCCTACGGAAAACGCGACTACCAAACCATGCTACAGAAAGCTGTGAACCGCTATGGTCATATCTTTATTATGATTAACGAATTCCCCCACTACTACCGCAAAATTTTAGAATTCGAAGTTGCCAACTTTTCCCATGCCCTGACCGATGAGATGTGCGAGATGTGTGCCAAAGTCGATAGGGCACTCACTGTGCCAGGTTAGACAAGAGATTCCTACTCTGTCGAGGTTTACTTACTCTATTTGGTTTTAGGCGGTTCGGTTCTCTTAGCTGGACGTTCCGGACTAGGAAGAGCTGATGCAATTCGTCTCATCGCAAGCATGCATCAAATGAACTTGTTCACACCCAGGCTCACGCCACGCTACGGACAGAAACAACTCGATCAGGACCTCAAAAATGTACGTTTTTTACTGAGTCAGCAAGCACTATCTATAGACGATAGAGCTCGAAAGTTAGTTAAGGAAACAATTATCGCACACGTTGTCAAAAAATCGTTTGTCAAAAGTCAAAAAAATCAAATCCAAATCAATAAATCTTTTTGAAACAAAAGAAAAGAAGTAGCAATAGCTACATAGTTTCTGCAGTTCCACTTGCTTCGATCTATGGTTAATTGATGGTTTATACAACTCAAGTCACAATTATGTCCGTTTTGCAAATTTGTACATTCCAGTCTTTCCATCGAAAAGCAAAAAATATTCGAATTTGATTTCAGGTGATTCAGTCAGCAATTTCGAACAATGAGCATGTGGTGTTGCTTATCGAGGATCAACATATAATCAAGTCCAGCTTTTTGCAATCAGTTAGCTGTATCATATCGAGCGGAGAGATCGCAGGTTTATTTGCCAATCAGGTAAGTTATTCCATTCATAAGTATCCATTTGAAGATTGATTATTCCTGAAAAAGTTAAAATTCTGTAGATCCATACGAAGAAAGTTGAAGTTTCGTTGAAAAAGTTATTCATAGTGATAAGATCGAGTTGCCTGCGATCACATTTGAAATATAAAAAAATGAAAAACAGCAAATGGAATGCCAACAAATCGAAAACTTATGAGAAGTGAACGAAATATGAGTTGTAAAAGTTTTGAAATATTGCAGGAGCTCGACACTTTATCTACAGCATTGCGGGATCAAGCCAGTCAAGATGGCTTTCAAGGACACATGCAGCGATATTTCGCTCATAGTAAGCTCACTACTGGACCCAAAAAATGATATTTTTACTGTCAATATTCTTTTCAGAAGTACGTTCGCTGGTGCATATTGGTCTTGTGCTCGACATTGACGGTTCGGAATTTGAGATGAGAACAGCTGCTAATCCTGATCTTTTCAAGCTGTCGAATCTTATTTGGCAAAACGACTGGAATAGAAACACTCTTGCTCAGGTGAACAACAAACAAATTTTTCTGGTTAGCTTGGATTCAGATGCTAATAAATATTATTTCTAGATGCCACCATTATTGCTGCAGAAAAAAGGCATGAGCGTTCCAGAAGACGTCGGCCAGCTGTTTAGGTAGACCTTTTGCACAAAAAGTCCAAAACTAACATTAAGCTCGACTTGCTCATCCATCTATCGCATAAGTACCATTTAGCAATTTGGAAGCTGCACTACCTCCGGATGTCCTTTCTCCTTACAAATACCAATGCTGCATAGAGAATTACGCTTCTATATATGAAGCGAAGAAGTCCGCGATTTCGGAACGACTTGAACGACTAAAGGTTGGTGGGAGTAAAGATTGACATCTTCAATGAAGCTCACTTCTTGCTGTTAAAAGTCAATTATCTTTTTCATAAGAATAATCTCAGGCTGGAGTCTCAAAACTAACTGAGGCGCGGGAGCAAGTGGCAGCAATGCAGAAGAAAGCTGCAAAGAAGAGCAAATTACTAGCAGAAAAGCAGGCAGATGCGGACAACGCACTGAAGGACATCAGCAAAAGCATGACGGTGAGAAAAAAAACGAGGCACAATTTGTAATTAATCAAACTTCTGTGATGTTCGGAAGTTTATTCTTCGTCTATTGCAATTTTGCAAAAACATAGCGCGCATCCAAATTCGATAGATAGCGCCCGAAATTTTCAAAGAAAAATGCGAGGAAATGGATTTACAAAATCCTAATGAGGAACAAGTTACAATACCATGGCTCCCCCTTCAAAATCTCCAAAATAAATGCGACATCGCGTTGAAAGCGCCGCAACCTCATAGTATAGTTCCCTTAAAAAAAACTTTCAAGCAGAGGGGGAAAATATTTGGAATCAGCGTTCTTCGTTCTATCTAAAATCATAATTTTATATTCGGAGATCCAAAGCTTTCCATTTTATCGGTGACGCCAAGGATGTTCCACACTCCTGGTATTTTCAGCTCATAAATCGCTGTATAGCTGAGATTTGCTGGTATAAATTATTGAATACATTGGAAAGATCTTTATATTTATGTATCATAGATGGAAAGCAATATACAGAAAGAATTTTGTGCACAGTATTATATTAGGTTGGTGCAAAAGTTCTTGCGCACGATTTTCAAAAATTCATAGCTTGTTGAATTCTCAACGAAACTGCAAGATCTAATTTTTGCATAAGAGAAGAACTCAGGCTCCTTGCAACTGTGCTTGAACTGTTCGTTAATGTGTACAAACGAAGGAGATAGAAGCTCAAAACCGAAGTCACTCAAAATTTGAATTTTTCGTGTAGGGTCATAAGAAATCGGTGACCTGCCACAAAAATAGGAGCAGCCAGTATTATAGGTTCTTTTACTAGCTCTTTCTGACAGTGCAAAGTTTGCGCCGATTGAGGGTTTCTATGAAAAATTATGATTTTCGAGCAAGCAATACAAACGGGCGAATTTGATTAATTTTGGCATTTTTCAGGGAATTCATAACTTTTCACAGAGACGCTCAATCGGCGCAAACTATGCACTGTCAGAAAGAGCTAGTAAAAGAACCTATAATACTGGCTGCTCCGATTTTTGTGGCAGGTCACCGATTTTTTATGACCCTACACGAAAAATTCAAATTTTGAGTGACTTCGGTTTTGAGCTTCTATCTCCTTCGTTTGTATACATTAACGAACATTTCAAGCACAGTTGCAAAGAGCATGAGTTCTTCTCTTATGCAAAAATTAGATCTTGCAGATTCGTTAAGAATTCAACAAGTTATGAATTTTTGAAAATCGTGCGCAAGAACTTTTGCACCAACCTAATATATTGATAATCTCCAATGTGATTTTCTCATACAGGGAGCCGAAGACCAGAAAACGTCCATGGAGCAACTAAGAGCTGCCACAGAAGAGGAGAATGTGAAAATTGCTGAGAAGAAAAAGAAGATCGATGAGCAGCTCAAAGAAGTTGAACCGCTGCTAAACGTCAGTATACGTTGACTTACAGTTTTCATTTCACTGAGCACAAACGAGTGTCCGAGTATCAAACATAAAAAATTTCTAGGAAGCTCGATCTGCGGTAGGATCGATCAAGTCTGAATCACTATCTGAAATTCGTAGTCTGCGCGCTCCTCCTGAAGCTATACGAGACATTCTACAGGCCGTGCTTCTTTTCATGGGGATTTTAGACACATCCTGGGAGGCGATGAGGAAGTGAGTCTGTTCTTCCTTCTACAATATGTACAAACATTTCGTCGTTGAAGCAAAGTAGTTGGGTCAATGTCTTTGTTAGATATCGCAAACAAGCACGCAAAAAAGGTTTGCTCTGCATCTTGAGACTTTTTTCAGGTTCCTCTCCAAAAGCAGTGTGAAAGACGAGATCATCAACTTTGACGCTCATCGAATAACCAAAGATGTCCATAAGAAAGTTTCGGCTCTGGTGAAGAGCAAAGAAGCGTCTTTCGACCCTAAAGTTTGCTTTTCTAAATTCTTCTGCAAAAGTTTGAACTACCTTCATACAGAATGCCAAACGAGCTTCGGTGGCCGCAGCTCCACTTGCTGCATGGGTCACTGCTAATCTACAGTACGCTGAAATACTTGAGAAAATTTCTCCTCTGGAACAAGAGAAAAACCAGCTTGTCAGGTAGAATGTTACTCTTACTTCATAAGCAAGAAAAATTCTTGTGCACTGCGTCTGTGGGTACCTAATTTTCTGAGTAAAAGCTAACGAGAAGTAAATCTGAGAACATTTCAGTAATCTTTCAAAAGCTGAGAAACAGATCCAAAAGCTTTCGCAAGGATTACATACTGTCGATGAGAAAGTGGCGGTGCTCAAGGAGAACTTTGAAGTTTTGATGAAGGAAGCAACTCAAATAAAAATTGATTTGGAGAAAGAGCAGGTAATTCCTAGGTCCCCAAACTACCCAACAGAAATTTTTCTCAGGACACGATAAGAGTTGCTGGAACTCTGATTGACCGTCTGAGTGGAGAGTTTGCCCGCTGGCAAGTGCAAATGGAAGCTTTGTCCAGGGAGATGGAGAATGTAAGAACTTCCCATATTCTTGACCTAGTACTGCACTAGTTCTGATTTGTGAAATCAATTGTACTGCATTGGAAAAAAATTAAGGTCGAGAGATGTGCTCTAGTCACTGCTGCATTCGTCACATATCTTGGCGGATCGTCCGAACGAACTCGGATTGATGTGCTGCGCTCTTTGCAACAGATTTACAAATTGCAAGATTTTGATCCAGTGACTTTTTGTGCTACTGAGACTGAACAGGTAATCATAAATCTTGCTCTGAGCTAAATAACATATTTTATAATCCACAAAATTATGCGCATTTATTCGTGAATGATCTTCTACCTTTTTAACACTCTCTTCAATATACTGTGGGTCCCCCAAAAGTATATACACACTGTTTTTTCTTTATTATCTCTCTTACCGAAATATCTTGCCAACTTTTTGGTATGATTTTCTTACAGTGTGGTGCGAATTACCAATCGCCTTTCTATACTGTGAGAGGTAGGAACTTCCGGCATAGAGCGCTCTAGTGAAGTGGCCCTTTCCAAGGATTCGAAAGTCTGAAAATGTGTGGCAGGGTTCTCATACACGATTTTACTAGTCAACATTTTACGGGTTTTCAAAGCTTTTTGAATGTTGCATTCCATTTTTCGCGAACACCAAAAAATTACACTCGGCATAACTTGCACACAAAAAAAAACAATATGGTAAAGTGCAAGTTTTATTTTAATGCGACATGAGTGAACTGCTACAATGATTTAGCCTGTTTGTTTTCCTTCTCAGGCAGAACAAGTCCTCGATGTCTTGGACCCCCCCCTCGCTCCCTTGAAATTTCTACCGTAGTCCTATAATAATGATGAGCAATTATGATACGCGACATATTGTAGTCTAAGTTCCAATTCTACTGAATAGTTCCTAACTGTCGGCGAAACACTTCGTGGGAAGAGAGATATTGACGATTAAACATTGCTTACATATTCTTTGGACATCTGTATATTGTTTATATTATTAGGTTGGCTAATAAATAAGTTCGTTTTGACATGCAAAATCAAAGCTTCATAACCATTCACGTAACAGCTGTTCAGCTAAGATTTTTTCGTGAGAAGATAGCCTCAAGCCTCTACTCTTAAATATTGAATAGTCAAGATTTTGTGTTAGCAAAAAAGACAGTTATAACCTTGTATGGTCAGACTTTTAAAAAATCGCTTTTTTGACTTTTTAAGTTTCGTTCTCAGCCTGCAATGAGTATACAGGCGAGTAATTTGATGGCTGGGTACATACAGCCTCTGGCTAGGTGGCGAACCACAATAGAGATTGTGATCTGCTGTCTCTGAATTTCTGCAGTCAAAACTGTGAAAATTTCCAGGCATTTGCGCGCGAAGATCAAATTTTGGGCATTCCAGATAACTCGAATTCGGCCATCTATGGCCCTGCAAATGATTGGAAATTCAAAAATTTGCTGTGTCAGTAGCGAATCTATACTTTAAAACTGACTTCAGTTCGTTTTTCGGAACGTGATTTTTCGATTTTTTTTTCAAAAATTGGACCAATTTTCTTTCCCTCATCATTCCATTTTCAGAAAAATTAATTTTGAGAAAATAGAGTTAATTTTCCGATTCTCCTTGATTTGCTCTTTCCAATGGTACCATATGTGCACACAAAAATTGATTTGTGACTATTCTACAAACCGCTAAAAACGACCGAACTTATTTTTTAGCCAACCTAATAGGTTGTCCCGGAAGTTTTGTCGATTTTTCAATCCACTATAAAACCATGCACAATGAAAACCTGAATGAGTTTCAACATGGATTTGATGCAGCTTTTCCTTCTCTTTCTTAATGTTCCATTTAAGAGCCAAGATCCTGTACGTTTTTTTTTGATAATTGTCACAAACCTTCACTCGTCATTTTTATCTGCTCAGAGTTAGGCTAATTTTTGAAAATTCCATTCCAAAGTTTTGGAAAGCACTAAGCATGGCACAAATAGAACTATTCTCGAGCTATACGGCAATATTTTCAGATTTTCCTAAATTGCTGTTTCTAGCTCTAGAGAATTATTTTTTCGGAGGTCTCGATTTCTCGCAAAACCATAGAACACGCAACTACGGCAAAAACATGAAAGCTTTTGGAATTTTTGCGAATTGAAACTTGATTGCTAATAAACATTATTTAGCAACATAGCCAAGTTTGGTTTATTTGAAAAGTCAGCTTTTTGGAATTTTCGGTAATTTTACGTGGTAGACGTAATCAAAAAGCCGCGGTTTTTCTTAAATAAATAATTATTTAGGACTTGATAAACGTGAACCATGTAATCTAAAATTAGTGTAATGTAGCCGAAGAATGGCTCTACATAACAGTTAACCCATTGACGACGATGTGGACCACCGGTGGCCTACATACCTTGCAAAATCATATCCTTTCCAGGTCTAGTATTTTTTCCAGAGCTCACCATTTTTTCCAGTTCTTTGCACTATTGGAACCTATAGACTTCGTCGTCCAAGAAGATGGCTGTAGTTGCTTACAAAACATTTTTACATTTCGTAAATAATCACAAAAATTTCCCGCGCCGCAAATATTGTGCAAAATCGCGTCGTCCCACAGCGCCGCCACGCAAAATTAGGCGTCGTCGTCAATGGGTTAATAGCGCTTTTCGAAAGTAAAATTCAGAAAATATTTGGCGTTACTGTTGAGCTGCTCAAAAAGCCATGGCGATAATATTGCGGAGACAGAGTAGATCAGAGAGCAAATAGAGCTGTAAGAAAGAGGATGAAAATCTGAATCAAATGATACTTAGACTCCATGAGTTGGTGTTCTGTGGGTTTTAGTGAGCGATGGAAAAAACTGACAAAACTTTTGGGGCAACCTAATATTTGATGAGAGGCAAAAAGTAACTTTCAGCTCAATTGGAAGAATCACGGACTCCCATCGGATACACTTTCCATTGAAAATGCAGTGATGATGCTGAATACTATACAAACATCACTAGTGGTGGACCCAACCGGCCGTGTCGCAAACTTCTTGAACTCATTCTACCCCAAATCAGAGCTTTTAAGGGCAACGCAAAACGACCTTTACACCCAGGTTATAAACTCTTCCTTTCGATATTTCTCGCAAACAAACGACCTTCCTTCCAGATCGAATTCGGAATTCGCTTTGGCAAAATTCTCATAGTAGACGATGTGACGGAAGTCGACTCAGTTCTGGTGCCAATTCTACGAAAGGAGCTGTCATCCCAAGGACCACGTCAAGTTCGCAGCATTTAGCAAAAACGAATATCAATTATTTAATGTTTATGTCCAGGTGATCACGTTTGCTGACAAGCAGATCGATTTTCATCCAGACTTCAAGCTATTTCTTTGCACAAAGAATGAGCACATTACTATCCCGAGCAGTATCCGAAATGTGTTATTTGAAGTGAATTTTACGACGACGAGGAGTGGTCTCGCTTCTCAGGTAATCTTCCTGGTACTTACTTGCAAGATGCAACGTCAAAGTGTCATCCTTTGTACTTCTATACAATACAGTGGGCAAAATAGACAGAAAATCGAAGCTGAGCGGTTAGGTAGAACCTTCGTCTTTGTACAATGTGTCCCAAAACATGTGCCTACTATTTGACTGTTGATAACTCTATGGTCATGAAATTTTTGGAGAAGCTCCAGGTACCATTTTGTAGAACTGGCCTCGACTTAGTTTTGCAGTATAGAGCCACTGGGCTGACTAGAGCTGCTGATCTAAATATAAAGTTTTCATCTCATTATAATACCTCCTTGAAAAGTTATGTTAGGTAGGCAGTAGCAGGTGTTTCTTCGATGTTGCTAACAATTTGGTACAGTGTTTGGGAAGCTTATCTTGTGCAATGTTGAGTATTGTACTTGGCGTCCACAAAAAACAAGTTACACAAGTCTTCAGTTCTTGTTTACAGTCCGAAAATTCCTACAGTAATCTTACAATAATGAAAAGCGCTCGGTGATTCGCTCCATACTGCAAACCTAAGTTGAAACCAGCTCTATAAAAAGCCTTAAGCTTCTCGAAAGATTTGATGACAGGAGAGTTATTGACAATCCAAGAGTAGGCACATTTTTGGGACATCCTGTATGTGAAAGGCTAGCAATCAACGTGCGAGGAAGAACATCCAGAGCTTTCAAAGTTCCGGTTGGGGCTAAATCACATAATAACGAATCATTCTGCCTTTTCAGGAGCATATATGGAGCCTCGTTCCTAAGGCCATTTGTGTTTTACTAAAACAAAAAAAAACTTAGAGTTACTCAGGAGGCACTGAGGCAACATTTGATAATTATGAACTAGTTTCTTTGCAGTTGCTTGGGTTAGCGATCCAGATCGAAAAGCCGGAACTTGAAGAGAGATCAAGTGCTCTAGCACGAGATGCGGAAGGAAAGAAGATGGAGCTCGAAAAGTTGGAGATGCTCTTATTGCAGGTTTGATCCCGTGATTGTCTTCTATTGAAGATCACATATCTTAGTTCAATAGAAAACAATCATGATCATCACTTCATGATCATCGTCAGTATACAAATTAATTTCTTTTTATCTCTGTGAAAATTAAAAAATTTCATTGATTTCGGTCTCAATGTAGCCAATTTAGCAACTAGCATCGTCAGAAGGCAATCTGCTCGGTAACACCACTCTGTTAGATTCACTAAACAAATCGAAAGAAAATGCGGAAACGATCAGTCAGGGAATCGAAGAGAGCGAAAAGCTGCGCAAGGAGCTCAACGAGGTCTGTAGATGCTATTTAAGCATTTCAAAACATCGCAAACAAATTGCGATTCACTGAATGCAAAAATATTTCCAACCTTCACATTTCTCTTTCAGCAACGGAATGCTTATCTTTCTTTGGCTACTTTCGCCAGCTCACTGTATTTCATATTTTGTGATCTCCATTTACACAACCACATGTACAACTTCAATGTGAACACAATTATAAGTATTTTCAAGAGAGTGGTATCTGGCAGCAAGGTTAGTTCATCTAGCCCTAATAATGTTTGATAAGTATGATGCAAATGGTTGAAAATGTGGATGATGGGGGCAAAAATATGAAAAAGTGGAAGATAGAGATCTCTGAGAACGTTGTGAAACGATTTCGAATTGCATGCTGACTGCAAAATAAGCAATCAATCTTTTTGAAAAAAAAAAACTTTTTCACGTGAGATTTTCCAAAAAAAATTATGCTGATCTCTCTTATTTATAGGATAACACTTCAACTCGGATCGACACCCAGATTCGCTCTCTTCAACTTGCTGTATTTTATCACATTTCACGTGCATTGTTCAAAGCTGATAGGCTTATGTTTGCTCTATCTTTTGTGCATGGAACTCTGCCAAAAATGTTCCAACCGAAGGTTCGTTCGTAAATATCAAGTATAGTCGAAAGTAAGAATAAAAAAATGAAGCCATGATTTTGTAGGAATGGGAACTCTTCACGGGTGTGATACTAGATGAACCTCAAGCAGCCACCAGTGGTATCTCTTGGATAGACGAAAGTCGACATGCAGCCGTGTCCAAGTTGCAGGTGAGAAAGTTAGGGAAAAGACTTGCAGATTGAGAAATGGAGAATCAAAAAATTTTTAGGCGCATCTTCCTACACTCTACAATAATTTGCAACTTTCCGATCAAGGTACATGGAGCGAGTTCAGCAGAGCAGTCGACTGCGAAAATTCAGTACCGTCTGCAATCGAGACAAGGATCACGCCATTCCAAAAGGTTGGTCCCTTAAACGTCTTTTCGAATACGAATGATCTATTCAAGGTGCTCCTCATACAAGCCGTTCGACCTGACCGCCTCTATGCAGCCATGCAAAACTTTGCTTTGAAAACTCTGAGTAAGTTCTGCCATCACCTTATCCATGCAGCAGTGGACTGAGGGGAGAGTTGTCGCAAAATTTCTGGAAATGATCCATATGAGTTACAAAATTATGAAAATGGTTGTTTTCACTTTTACAGATACATAATTTTGACTTTGTCCCGCGATCATTCTAAAAAAATCCTGTCGCGCCTCCCGCCGGTTTACCCGAAACATTATTCAGGGCACTATTGCTACCCTCCAATGTAGTGCCTACATATTATTTCAGACCTACCATCCATCAATCCACCTCCCTTCAACCTCTCAGATATCCTGGCCGAATCCACTAATCAGGAACCTATTTTACTTATTCTTGCTGGTGGAGCAGATCCTAGCCAGGTAATACTTTATGATAATTTCTCATTTAAATCTATCAGTAGCTTTAACCCTTCAAACGCTTTTTGTCCTTTTTTTTGATGAAAACAAATATTTTGAGCGTTGATCTTTTATTCAGAAAATTTTTTGTAATTAGGAACATTTTTGAGCTGGAATACTTTGAGTTATTACAATGATTGAATTGCAAACAGGTATAGAGACCGAAAAGCTATTCAAATACTCTTAGAAGCTCTTAATCTAAAGTTGTTTGAGTCCTATTTAAGAATAAAGAAAAAGCCACCGACAATTTCGTTGACCTTGAACTGTAACCATGGAAATATTTCTATACAAGAACTCCCAAAATTTGTGCCTCGCTCTTTTCAGGAGCTTGAGGAGTTAGCAGCAAAAACCATTGGATCCCACAAGTACACATCTATTTCAATGGGGCAAGGCCAAGAACAAGCAACGATTGATGGAATTAGGAAAGCGACTTCTGAGGGCGAATGGTTATGCTTAAACAATGTGCATTTAATGCTGAGTATAGTCCCAACCATACAAAAGGTACGATACTCCTACAACTACTGTGATCAAGACCATTTTACTCATTAAGGAGCTGGCCGCAGCAAATCTCCACGAAAATTTCCGCCTTTGGATGACTACAGAAGAAGAAAGCAAATTTCCTGCGGTAATGCTGCAAAGTAGCTTGAAAGTAACTTTTGAACCGCCACCTGGTAAGTTCAGGACTCGTGAATCTTTCAAATGAAGTAGTCATCGTTTCTAGGACTCCGAAACAACCTTCTGAGAACATACTCCCAGATAGACGATGCCAGACGCTCAGCCCTAACACTTCAAGCTATATTTGTCCTAGCTTGGCTACATGCACTGTTGCAAGAAAGGCGCACGTTCATTCCTCAAGTCAGGCAGTTTTAATTGCCTCTTCGCCAGTTCGTGTTCTGTCATACATTCTTTGTTCTTTTTAGGCCTGGACAAAATTCTATGAGTTCAGTAATGCTGACGTGCGAGTAGCTAGGGTTTTCGTGGAAACGTTCATCAAGGATTCGAGTGAGTTTGCATGAATATAAACGAGAACGGAATGTTGGAAATAAGAAAATGATGCGAAAAAATAGCTAGTTGAGTGTGTTTTGTGAGATCCTTTAGGAAATGAGCAGAATGTAGTCCTACGGTTGTCAATACGCGCATATAGTCTACTTTTAATATGCTCGACGCTGAAATGAAAATGGTGTCGGAAAGTAAAGGCCCACTAGACTCCCAGCTTCTTTTTCCAAATTTTTCGGTACCATTATAGCGTAAATATAAAATACGAGAGAGGTTTGACCTGTGCAACACATATGGCTGGACCAAGCTATCGTTCATATTGGTTGCCCTCCATCCTAAAAAACCAATTTTGCTTTTGTAAAACAGATTGCTTCTTGCTACTTTTTCTTGCAGTTGCAATGACCCCCACACAGAAGAAGCAAAAAATCTGCAAAACATAAGCGTGGATTACGAGATTTAAACTGAAGTGAGGTATCTCGAAGCACATCCCTCCTGGAAATTGCTGCTTCTGCCAGCTTACTGATATTTCGCTGAAGCAGCCAAGATGAATAGTGATGGCGAATGATGCTACATAACAATGAAAATCCGCTTGTTCAAAAATGAAGGATCCACTTGCTGACAAACTTTTTTAATCCACATCATCCACTTTAACACAAAAATATTTGCTCTAGAAGAAAGTTTTTTGTATTCAATTTTATAATCACCCTGTTATCGAATACCTTTAATGGAAACAGAATCCAAGAAACACTTTCAGTAGATAAAAAGATTACTCACTAAACGAAATAATCTGCTGAATCTAGAAGCTGATTGGGAGTTCATACGAGGTCTATTGATGTACGTCATCTATGGTGGACGCATAGAGAACATGTTCGACAGTCAAGTGCTCGACTCCTATTTAATGACATTTTTCACCGGTGAAAAAGTTACTGGGCGCTCTGGTCAATCTCTAGCAAAAGACGTTGAGCTTCCTGTTTTAGATAACATCAGGGTAAGCAATCACAACCCCAGCTAGAATTTCAGCAATTTTGCATAATTTTTCAGGATTATCAAAAATTCATCACTACCGCCGTACCAGCAGAAGATGATCCAATTCTTTTTGGTCTTCCCGTGAATATTAAGTTTTCATGGGAACTGACAGAAGCTGAGAATACAATAGCCAGAATAAGAAGCGCAGGTTTGTAGTTCGATTATTTAAAGTGTAAAATTAGATGACTCTTATTCAGTAACAACGGGTGCTGGTCATGATCGCAATAGCTGGGCCGAATCTTGCACGCCGATCTTGCATTTATGGAAAAGACTTTGCCAAGGCAGTGATCTTCACAGTAGACAGGTAGGTGTTTTATTCAGGAAAATCTGTAACTATCAAGAAAATTTTCCAGACGCCCATTTCGAAAGAGTCATCAGATCCAATTACTGAAGTCATATCATTGGAGTATATACATGCAGTCAGACTCGTAAGTTCTCCCAATAATCTTCATGAAGTCTTGCCCACAGTAACTGTAGCAAAAAGCTGATTGCATGCATGGACGCGATTTAGGTACAAAAACTCCATGCCAGTCTTACATTGGTAAGTAAAAGTATACGTGGAACGGTGACCCCGGATAAGAATACACTAGAGGTCATAAACAGCTTGCAGCTGCATCAGGTTGGTTTTGACTCTCCTAAAGATGGAATGCTTTGACTAGAACTGGATATTTCCAGACACCAGATCACTGGCGCGATTTATGGCTGGGGCCAAAAGAACCAGCCGAATTTTTGTCCACGCTAATATACAAGGTGGGAAATTAAGGAACGCTCTTTGAAGAGATCTACCAAGGCTTTCCATTGCGCCGTATGAGCTTTTTCAGGCAAAATCTGTACAAGAGCTGGTGCTGCGCTCGGAACAAGGCAACTTTTTGAAAACTCCACTGAACTTTTCGCAGCTCTTTCGACCTGGTCGTCTTCTCAATGCGCTCCGCCAAGTAACTGCCAGGTCTGACAATGATTAGATTCCACTTATTGTATTTGGAGCATCCTGTGTAGTGAGTAGAGCTCTTGAACCTTGCTTCAATAGGGATATTTCAGAGCCAAAGGCTGTACGATGGATAACCTTCGGTTGACTTCTGCATGGGAAGCTTCGCAATTCGGTGACGATATCGCAGTGCAAGTGAAGGTATTACACCCTCCTATCATTCAAAATTTCTCGTGAACCAAGTCATCAAGAAGCTCATTTTCCTCTAAATCGATAAAAATAGTGGGACATTTGGCATTCTCAAGCAAAAAAGAAATGTGAAAGAGTGATAAGTAATACCTATCCGCTTTTCAGGGGATTCTTCTGCAAGGAGCATTATTCGATGGACAGCTTAGGAGTACCTTGGCCAGTAGTCCACCCGTGACCAACGCTCCACAACTGACATTGGCTTGGACACAAAATGTGAGTCTTTACACAGCGATATTTTTCCAGTTCACAGGTGCATACAAAATGTGATTTTTGCAAGAAGAAAAATCCAGCTCGTAAGTCTGAGCAAATATTGTTACCAAGTAAAAGCTTTTCAGCAAATAGAGAGGGATTTAGGTGGGGGAGGGGGATATGCCGCCAACTGTACTCTCCCATTTTCAGAACTTCTTTTATCGAATTCATCCAAAAACGAAATTACTAACTTCTGGTGAGACAAGTTAATCTGACATTATATTAGAGATAATCTATTTCCCTTTTTTGTATTTACCCGATATCATTGCCGCTACAAGCAACTACCCATCTTCAAAGTTTAATAGTTATACAGCAATAGAAAAGATAGACTAAATATTTCGAAAGAACTTCTTACGGAACTTGCTCAAATTGAAGGTGTCATCACTCAGAAAGGCAATTTCAACACCTAAAAAATCAAACTTCCTCTGAGATTTCAATGAACTGATTTCATTCGCCTTCATACAATGCATTTTAGGATTCCGCGAATATGTACAGAGAAAAAGAGCACATTTCGGTACCGCTCTACACCGATGCGTCAAGAAACGAGCTTGTAGCAACGGTACAGATGAGATGTAGTGACGTCCACGCATGGAACATCGCTTCGGTGGCATTATTTTTACGATAACGCAATAGAATGTTCTAATTGTTCTTCACGTGACGAGGTACAAGCGATTCTCATTGATAAATATATTCAAAAAAATTTTGCATGACATTTACAAATAATTAATCTTCATGGATAGAATTAACGTACATATGTACAAGGATCGTCAAGTGATAAAACGTAATGAAAGCTCACGTTCTGTCCGAGTCCGATCAGTAACTAGTTTGGATGGTCACAACAGATGAAGTAAGGAATACCCAATTCGTAAACAGATAAGATGGAACTGACTGACATATGGATATTTTTGTTCACTTCAATAGTTTTGAGCAGAATGTTGCACAGGTGCTTGATTCCAATCTGGCTGCATTTGAGCTTGCGGTTGATATTGGGGCTGAGGGACTGGTGCGTACTGTACGTAGGGAGCTTGCTGATCTTGTCGAACTTGCACATTTGACACGGAAATATTTTGAGGAGGAACATTACCATACGGCGCTTGATAAGCAGGCTAAAAAGATTTGTTATGAATTCAGCTTCAGCAGTGGAACTAAGGGAATAGTCAAGAATCAAAGTGGCCAATCCAAACAAGCTGCATATCATTGGATAAAGCATAGAACGCTGGCTCTAAAACTATCTTCGTTATCTACTGCACGCTTTTGTGGACGAAGTCATATCGAAGCCATCATTCTGCTGAAAAATTGTGCGTGCAAGTGCAAATTTGGGCTACAGAAGCATGTTCGGCTTAATGATGTACCAGATGCAGCGGAGTTACCTATAACCCATATCCAAGTGAGCTAAAAATGTAATAATGTGCCCATTCGCAATATATAAAAAGATTTTCGCGGAATAAGATGCTCAGCTTCTCCTAAAAGCGTTCAGCAGATATGGAAAACAGACTTGAAGTCAGCGTTCTATGCCGCATCGAACTGTATGCAGCGGTTCGGATTAGCCACTCCGACTAGTGGCCATTCCCTTGTAAGAAGATATCAGCCCGCTCTACCAAGTGAATAGTCATCTACATCTATTTGTTTCGCTGTACACGAAATGCATAGGATGCAATACAACAAATGTCAAATAAACTTACATTAGGTGGCATACTAGCGGGTGGCGGAGCCATTACTGATGCAGTTGGATTCGCAACCGGAGGTTGATAAATGGATGGCTGAAAAATATTTGATATCTCCCAGACTCATATGACAATCTCAAAATCAAACAATGCGATACTTATTTCAGGCCACTTAGCGACTGAGAATAAAAATGATGAACATTCATTAAGGAGGCTTATGTAAACCGACCTGGAAGTGCGCTTGTTGCACAGCCTGATCATACAATGCCAGAACATCTCGGATTGCCATATCAACCTGCAATTAGGCACAGTCTTGTTCTATAATCGCAATTTGTCGGAAGTTTGTGCGGAATACAAAGCGATGGGCTGAACGCCTCGCTGTCGAACTGCGACTTGAGAGAGGAGATTTTTGTCTGATGAAAAAAATGCAGAATACTTCAAGAAAACCTCACAAAAAATGTGCGCAACGTAACAAATGGTACTCAGAAAACTGAAACATTCGATGTGAAAAGATAATACGTACCTGAGAAAGTGCGTTGACTTGAGAGTCGATCGCAGCCAAGCGCGCATTTATCAAGGGACCTTGTGCGCGAGCAGCTTGTTCAACCTAAACGCAAGCTCTAGTTGAGTAACAAAGATACCGAGCCTAGTATGTAGATGATCTTATAAAATACTACCTTGGCCAATTCAGGAGGATCAGGTGTTTCACCGGTGGGATCACAATCCTCCAGCATTTGTATACATCGCAATAATACTGATTCATCAATTGCTGTTACTGCCGGGGCTGGTGTACTGTTTGATGTGGGAACCGACTCGGGCTGAAAATCCTTTGATTGATGATATTGTATGAAATTCAAGATATAAGTTCCTTTAGAAGGAGAAAAGGATGCATAACACCATAAAATATACAAGAGACTCCGAGTCTGGCCAGACTGCGCAGCGTAAGCTCCGTACGCACATCTGCGCAAAGATATGAAGCGTGCACTGCGTATGTCTCGTACGCAACGCAGCCTAGCTCAACTTTGTTAACACTATTGTTGCGATATTGTGAGTGAAGACGCCATGAAAAAATGACATCTCGAACTCACCTTCACTTCAGATAGGTCAGATGTGACAAAACTGGATGGAAACAGGCCTTGCTGGACGCCGATACGACCACACCACCAATTCGCATTACTTCAATAGCAGATACTTTACCATTTGAAGAAATCGATGAGCAAAATCACCTGTCGTCCGTTACTGTGATCAAATCCCCACTGACAAAAGAAAGCTCATTGTCTTCCGCAGCTTCAAAATCGTACAGCGCCCGCACGGTACGTTCGGACCGTGACATATTCGACCTTTATAAAAAGGAGGTTATGACTATACCTTTGAGTAAAAAAACCGCATGGAAGAAGGCAGTACTGATTACGCAGGATATAATAACATATTCAATGTTTCTTTTACCAAAAAAGCTTACTTGTTACTGGTTCCATTAGTGGCAGGTGCAGCGGTGAAAGACGGATAGGCTTTGGTGACCTTCGGGTTTTTGTCAGCTTCTTGTAATGAGAGCGCGATGGCTCGCGCGAGAGCATCTTCTTCTTCCTGTTTGAGACGAATCTGGAGCAGTGCTAGAGAATACTGAGAAAAACATACCGCCTCAATGTCCCTGTTAATATTGGATTTCTTGGGCTCATTAGATGTAAATGAAAGACCATCAGCAACGAGATTTTTGTAGAGAGTGACCACAAGTGACAACGAAGCATCTGATTTACACTCGTTTTCGACCCATTTTTGGATCATCATCCGCGTCTTCTCGGCAATCAGACGAGTACTCTAAACCAAACATCAAAATTCTCTGACACTCAGTTCGGCTGTTACTCCAGAAACCAAAAACTTGCCCGTTTTAGTACTAAAAAAATATGTTCAACGATTAACGGAAGGATAGAAATGAGAGAAAGATCACGTCGAAACGGAAAGAAATAATACAGCAAAACTTTGATATAGAGTCAAAACGGGAATTTCGTATGCCCTCATAATGAAAGTAACGAATGCAAGAAACTGAGTTATGTGTTACAATGTTCTCGTTTTCGGAAATATACAGTATCAATTCTTAACGCAGAAACCTTTGCTTATCCTCAAATGCCATAGTAAAATTGTGGTGTAAACTTCATAACTGTATCAAAGTGGTTTAATGCGCAGATTTCAGCATTACTTCACAACATCGAAGTTGGGACTATTTCTTAATTCTCTAGATGAAGTTATTACGACTTACTGTGGGAGAAAATTTAGAAAAAGGGGGGGGGGTGATAGAAGTTAAACTGAATACTACCATCAGTAAAAGAAGCTCAACGTGGTACGAGTAAGCATTCTTCAATAGTCGTCTGCAAAAAACGCACAAGCAGTGAAGCAATTTTTGAAGTACGAAATCTTTTCCGAGACCATGCAAGCGGATAGGCCAAAAGTTAAAACAAGCAATAATGATACTATGCTGTCTGGATAAACTTCAAGAACTTCTAGTCGTGTGATTAAGTCCACAAAGGCAAAGTATTAAAAGCGACCGAGATGGCAGCATCCGTAGGGAGACCTCAAACATGATAACTGAACCCAGAAACAAGTAATCAAAACATCCCGGCTAAAAGAAACAGACAAAACCGAGAGCAAAAATGAAGAGTGGCATTGCAAGCAGTCACCGAGAGCCCACAAACTTACAGAATAGCTCCAAGAGCGCAAGCTGCGAAACAAGTCGGATTCGGAAAAGCTGGACGAAAGCTTATGCATCAAGCAAGGGTGATAGTAAAATAGAATGGAAGTATAAAGAGCAAAAAAGATGGTATAATATAAGTCTGAGACTCACATGAACAGCCTTCGATTGGAGTTCACTAATGAAACCTGCAGATGATACTTCTTTACGAAAAGCTGGACCGCAATTACTCCAACAAGAGTCCAGCACCGAAAGTGCGAGAAGTACGACGTGAGGATCACGGTGATTGAGTCTTAAAGAGATAATATTAGTTCGAACTGAAGCTCTCTCTATTTTTGAGAAAGTGTAACTTCCTCCTTCCTTGATGATTGTGCTCGACAACAATTTCTTTGGAAAGAGAAATCATGTAGTTTCTAATGGCATTTTAAAAGCTTTCTATTGAGCACAAGTTGCAGGAACAAAAAAGAAAATCTCGCGCTCTTGTAATTTCGAGCAAACTCAAAAATCTAAGAGCATTACAGAAAATCCAAAACAATCACTAGCGAGAAATTTACGACTTTCTCTTTTCACTGTGCAAATGCGCCGATGGAGCGTCTCTATGGAAAGTTACGTTTTTTGATTGAAGTAAATGCCAAATGGCCTTTTGCTATTGCAAAAATCTAAATGTATTTAGGGAGGCTCGATTAGAGCAAACTATACACAGATAAAAAAAAGAAGGTCATAACTCATAAAACTTATGCTGATGACTGTTTCGGATTTGACAGTGGCGTTTTTATATTTTGACAAACTCAAAATCACCGAAGCCCGAAAATTCTGCTTCGATGTTCGCAAGAAGATAGAAAACTCAAGCTTTCTTCATTCTGAGTATATGCCATGCAAAACTATTTGGAAAGGAAGAAGTTTAAATTTTCCACAAGTGGTAAACGAACTTTCGGTTTAACCTTACGGATAGAGAATAAGATATAACATGAAAAAAAAAACTAACCTCTTCCTGATTGAAAGTAGCGCATTCTTCGGTGCCCGAGGGTCGCTATTGACTTTATCGCAAACATCAAGAATCATAGCCCAATTTTCACTAGTTAAATGCTCAGCCGTGACTTTTTCGATGCTTTCATCGAATGGTGAGCTCGAATCACCGAATAGGCCCATCTGCAGTAGCGACGTCATTTCGAAGACGACGGAAGTCAATTGCGACTGAGCGACACGACGATTATGATGACAAAGGATGAAATCGCGTGACGATCAATAGAAATCGCCGGCAAGGCGCCGTTGCTTACGAAACGGGCCGCAACGAACGGATAGCGGCAAAACTGGACATAAACTTTCACTGTATATATAGGAACAGACAGACACTGTTGCAAAGCTGCTCACATAGCTGACTAATAAGATGCACGTATAACGATAATGCTCACAAAGCCGTCTAAAATTGTTGGCATGGGATGTGCCAACTATGCATAACTGTGTCTAACATGACTGAACTATTATCGCCAAAAACGGATTATCGGGAATCGTGAGTCATTATCGACAGGCAGCACGATTCACATCCGGGCGCGCCGAAATGCACCCGGAGGAAGGCCCTAAGGGCAAAGGGACAAGGACAACACTGACGATCACGAGGTGGCCGGAGAGACTGCAATACAAGACAGCATTCAGGAACGCTGCACATACATTGCTTTACAAGTTTGAACATGTCAACCGATAATACAACCAAAATGAAATGATGCACAGTTTCCAACTCGTCAATCATGTGTGCGCACAACGTCCGCGAACCTTCTAATTGAAAGCTGACGAAAATGATCGTGATTCCTGCCTATTACTCCAATTGACTCCTATCCTTGCATACATAGCAAACAACGGCTGCCTCATCCGCGCCCCTTGACCCACGGCAAATTTCGCCAGCGCGCAGGACGCTGGCAACGTGACACATTGTGTACTTCGCGCTTGAGATCAAAACAGAAGTATGAGATAATGCGCAGCTGTTACATACTCAGACACTCGCTGCGGCGGCGCGCGCGCCAAGTGCGCGCGGGCGCTCATATCCCCCGCCGCCGGTCGTCAAGTGGCGCGCGCGCCGCGAGTAATTGGAACGCGCGCCGCGAGTAAATGGTGCGTGCGCCGCGAGTAAATGGTACGCGCGCCGTGAGTATATGGGACGCGCGCCACACGATAATGGCACGCCGCTCGCACGGTATGAATATTGCCATTCGCCAATTGCCAATTTCAAAAATTCAAGAATTCAATTTTCAATTTGAATTCAAACTCGGCACCTACTCGCAGTGCTTATGGGGGCTGACTCTCAGTGGAACAACTAGAATCCCACTTGTGTTAATGAGACAACTCCATTGCGAAACAGCGATAACCTCAATGAATTAGCGATAGCACCCAAAACACTGCGTCGTACTTCACGCGGGTATCGCTTGTGCTTACAGCGTGTTGGAATGCGGAAAATATCATGGCACGCGGCTCACTGATAAATTGCGCGCCGCTCGCACTCTCAACTAGGGCGCGCCGTTCGCAATACAGTGCTGTAATGGCGCGCGCGCCGCCGCGCCGAGTGTCGAGTAGGCGCGCCGGCGGCCGTAATAAGGCACACCGCTCGCTGGCTGCGAATGATGGCGCGCCGCTCGCACTGCAGCCTCAACTATGGCGCGCCGCTCGCACTGCTGCTCCAAGCAAAGCGCGCCGCTCGCACGGCAGCCTTAAATAGGGCGCGCCGCTCGCACTGTAGTGCTATTATGGCGCGCCCGCCGCCGCAGCGAGCGTCTGAGTAGGGGCACCTGAAGTGTAAAACCTGAAGCAGAACCCTCCCAAAGTTTACTGGAAATAATGATAAATACTTGGTTTTGCAGGTTGTCTTAAAGGCAGTGTCCGCGCAAATAGTCGATATCGAGATTTTGTGCTTACCAGGGCCTACTCGCTATGCTGAATACGAAAATCCACACGGGAGAGCGCGAAAACGGCATTAAAGGGCTCCAAAGCAGGAAGGGAATTCAGAAGTGGGCGGGGTCTTCCCCACTGTGAATTCACGGTCCCGGCTTTGGGAGCGATCTTCTCAATTCCGCTAATCGCCCTGACATCTCCATAAGCCAAGTGTGAATGCGTGACTTGAAATCGCTCTGGAAGCTGGGACCGTAAATTCACAGTGGGGAACACCCCGCCCATCTGATTCCTGCTTAAAGCTTTTTTCCGCCGTTTTCGCGTCCAGTGTGGATTTTCGGATTCAGTATAACGAATAGGCCCGGGTAAGCACAAAGTCTCAAAATCGAGTTTTTGCTCGGACACTGCCTTCAAAGTCTATTGCCGGGCCAAGGCGCAAGTAATTTTAGTTTGGGAGTGAACGCGGCGCCTGTCACCGCTACAAACCTTAAAAGTTATGTGCTCTGCTGCTAACGAGACCGCGTTCGCGTCACTAAGTTTTGCGTCGTCCAGTAGTAAGCCCCACATGCAGCTCACCCCTGTCTTATAGGCAGTGGCGCCCTCTAGCGGCTTCGGAATTGCGCGCGACCGCCTCGCTTGGGCACCTCAGTCAGCAAACGTTTTGACTGTTCCAAGACAAAGCATTCCAGCGATGTCAATGATAAAAACAAAAACAAGAACTTTGAGAACGACTCAAGATATGCGTTTCAGCTTATCATGTAAAATTCGGTGTTTATCGCTCTCATCACATAAAAACACTGGGAAGTGTTTATCGACTAAAAGTTTTTGTGTAACCTATCTATTGCTTTATCAATGGGCTGAATTTATTTCAGAAACAGCATCACATCTGTCGTTGCTATCAATGAAGAAAAGATTGGGCTTTTTATTTTGTGATTTACTTTATTCAATAAAATGTGTTCTAGTGCATAAGTGGTTAATCTCAGAGCACACAGCAAATTGATTGAATTCACAGAAGTCAAAAGTGTGTCCTCGGAAATCTTCTCCATTTTTTACATCCTTTATGATACCTAATTTTTGTCAGTTTATGAAAATTGCTTGTGTTCTGCACGTTCTCATGAAGAGAGGCAAATAAAATAGATCTTTGTGAACTTTGCGATTAGATTATAGTACAATACATCGCGTTCATTTCACACTTCGTACTATGCACTGCTTTAAAAAATGCATGCCATCAAACTTTCAAGTGATTACCAACAAAAGAAAAAAAGAGGTCTGTCTCTTCTATCAGTGTGCCGATAAAAATGTCCAAATTTTTAAACAAATGCGTTTTCATTAGGATTCATATAAACTCCCTTATTTTCGCGAAACATTTGCGAAACATTCTACTCATCAAGTGAATTTGTTTTGTGAATAGTATGTGCATAATGAAATCAAATAATGTGCTACCATCCGAACTTGCTTTTGGATTCAATGGCTTGTTGATTTTTGACTTCATTAATTACAGAAGGATTTTAACATCAGATGAAGAGAGTGTTTCATTTTTTCCTTTTGTGTCATTTCCAAAGTCTGTCCCTGTACCGAAGTATCCTTACATCTCAGCCCTTGACCATAAGTTACTCTCAAAATCTTTCTAGGAAACATCATGTACGTAATTTCTCTGTTTCATTTTTTCGCAGTCATTCCACTAAGTTCTTCTTATAAATTCCTGATCTATAGTCCTTTTCTGGGACATAGTCACATCAAATTTTTTGGAAGTATGGCAGATGTGCTCAAGGAGGCAGGCCATGACGTGGTAATCTCTTGTTCTCACTTCTTTTCTTTTCAAAAAATTGGCTTATTTTAGACGGTTCTAATGCCTGAAGTTGATGAAGAGCATCTAAATTATACAGGTGTGGAAAGTACAGCACGGATAATTCGCACACCTGGCGATCCGAGGACTTCAGAGGTAACATCCACGAGTACATTCACGTTTGTTCCCAAAGCAGACTCAGCGCATCCGCGAATTTTTACTGTATCCGTTTTATTATAATCTTGTCCTTTACCTTTCAATTCGTGAATGGAACATTATCCCCCCCCCCTTCTATAAAGGCAGATCTACCCTAAAATATGTATGTGGCATAGAAGGCGGCTTTTTTGGTCCAGTTAAGTCCGTCTTCATCACCTACCTACAGTCAGTAAGTCTTTTTTCTTATTGAAAATATAAAATCTGCCAAATAAGTCCGAAGAGGCATTATCCTATCTTACTTGACTTTGGACGGATTTATCTGCGCGGATGCCTTATACGTCAGATTTCAGGTTAACTTGTGATAGTTCTTTGTATTGTGCCGACAACACAATAAGATTAATGTTGTTGGCAAAATATCTTATAACAGTCTATGTAAAATCAAAAATGAATAAAACTTGCTAGAAATTCCAGAGTTCCACTATAAAGTAACAAAGTAGTGCATACGGATTCAGATTTTCAATGCTTTACCTCATTCTTCTATAATAATTTTGCAAATAGTACCAGGAAAGATGAAAAATCAACTTCTATGTTGTCTTCATCGTTTCTTTTTTAAGATACTGAAGAGTGCCAAGCAGGTACAAGTGCGAAACATATGGAATATAGCTTCATCTCCGCTATCAATGATTCAAGTAAGTGATAATGCCATCTAGCAGTGTTAGGTGGCGCGAATGTTCTTGCGTAATTTTCAAACAAATCGATAACTTCAAATAGACCTAAATTCATCTTTCGTATCCTAGAAATAGTAGAGTGATCACGTTCTGTAATAGGTGTTTAGACGTGACTTTCTATAATTTAGTACCGGACAACGAAGCTTTTATAAATGGCGTTTCAAGTCCTCATCGCGGAGGGTCGATAGCTAGCCAAAAAGTATGTAAGAATTTTTACACAGCAAAAGTCCATACGTCGCTGTGGCGGCCTTCAATCTTATATGTTAACACAAAGATAAGAAATTTGTGAAAAAATTCATTTTCACAAAAAAATTTCCTCACTACTGCACATCTTCAAAAAAAAACTGTGATGCTCTAAATGCCACAGTGTTCTAAACAGGCACGGTCTCGATCCTGGTTTCAAACAGTTTCCTGTAAAAAAATCTGCAACGATAAGGCGACTCTTCCTGTAAAATGGCGTATTCCCCGAAATTTTTGTTTTTGCATTTCCGCACAAGATTGAAGCCTGCCAAAGTAACGTATGGACCTCTGCTGTGCGGAAATTTTCCAAAAATTTTTCAGGCTAGCTGGGTTCTCGGCGATTTTGTAGCGCTAAACTCATAACAGATTTGAAGTCCCAATTTAAAAAGCTTCGTTCTCGGTGGCTAACTTATAGAATGTTACGCTCGGACATCCATTACAAAGCAAAAGCCTCCCACCATTTTAAGCAAACTGTAAATTTAGTTCAATATTTGCAAAGCTATTGATTTTCGTCTGTACGCAAGAACTTTCACGCCAACCTAATATAATGCGTTGAGCATATTGAGGGCTTAGTGTTCCACTTATTTGCTTTCCAACACAGACACTTTACTCAGACAAATCTAAATTTCTATGCCAAATGTCATCACAAAGTTTCACCAATCCAACTAAAAAGAATAAGTTGAATAATAAGTCCAAGCAATGCTCAGTTCGTTATTCTAAAAACTCACACATGAAGGAGAGAGAATGCGTGCATTTTCTGTTACCATCCTAAACTTTTCTTTTCGTGAGCTATTTTTGTTTTGTGAGACAGTGAGATAGATCAAGTTTTATTACTTAAAACAGAAGTAGTTCACAAACTCCCATTGAGATGTGTGAATTGCCAAGACCGGATAAGTTGCAGACAGGGCTCGGCACGAGGTGGCTAGATGAAAATGCAAAAAACGAAGTCCCCCTTGACTTTTGAGAATTTTTACGAAGTCCCCTTCGACCCTCAACCACATTTCCTCTAAAATCCTAAAAAATCCCCAAAATCCCCCAAAAAACGAAACGTCGACTAAAAAAAACGTCGCCAAATCGCCAATTTTGCGTGTCTCTTCGGTCACGAAAACGAAACCCCCTTTGCTTTTCGTCCCACGATATCCAGCTTGCTTGTAAGCCACCTCGTGCCGAGCCCTGGTTGCAGAAAGCACGACTAAAATATGCGCAATCAGATATCCCAGCTTTGACAGGATAGGAGACAGTAGCTGTCTTCCTATTTAAGTGAATGAAAAATTTTCTTTTACTAGGTGATTATAAAATATTTAGAATCGAAAGTTTTGTAGCAGTAATAGAGGTCGTGAGATGTGCGTCGATATGTTATGACACCTCCTCGTAAATGATTGAAATTGAAATGTGGCAACTTGCTAAGATTTGTACGAATTAAGGTCGCTGTTTATTCAAAAGACATTTTCAGGTGATGACGAATGCCAGTGCCAGCATGGCATACCTGTGCGAATGTGAGCTTATGAATTTTGTCTTGAAAATCAAGTCAAATGCCTCCATGCTTGAAATTTTGATCATTTAGCACTACTAAACGACGATCAACTGCTAAAAACTTTGCTTGAAGAGGATTTCGACGTTGGTATCGCTGAATCGGATATTTGTGCACTAGGTCGGTTGTTTGATTCGCTTATTTCAGCCAAAAGAGCTCGAATGTGCGGAAATAAACGGAGAAATTTGAACTTTTCGGATGTTTGTTTCTGTTTTACCTACTTAGATACTTAGATGGCCCGTCCTCACGTGACGTGCGGGCCCCAGTACAGAAGGTGCCATTGATCCCTGTCCCTCGCTTCGGACATCCACGATCTTCTTGGTCGTCGTCGGTGGCTGCGTCCACGAGTTCCAGGGGCGAGAATCGTATCCGGCTGATTTCTCAGCTGGTCCATCCGTTCCACGAACAGGCCTGCCCATCTCGTCGGTGGTCTTCCTCGAGGACGTTTGGCTTCGCGAGGAATCCACTCAGATGTTCTTAGTGTCCATCTATCGTCCGTTCTTCTCATTATGTGACCGGCCCATCGGTGTTTCGCTTTCGCAACGTATTCCGCTGGGTCACGAAGACGGGACATTCTTCTCATATCCGTGCTGCGAAGTCCGACTAGATGTTGCTTGTGTCGGGTCATCTTCAGAAGACTGCGCTCGAACGCTCTGTGGGTGGTCCTCAAAGCTTTCGACGTGGCTACGGTGTCGGCCCAAGTCTCAGCTGCGTAGCAGAGCGCTGGGAGAACGGTTGAGTCGAACAGGTGGGCACGAAGCTCCGGGTCCGTCAGTTGGTCGGTGGCTTCCTTCAGATGCCCGAAGGCGGCCCAGGCTGCTCTTCTTCTCCTGTTAAGTTCTTCCCTCAAGTCGTTCTCCATGTTCATCGAACGTCCGAAATACACGTAAGAAGACGTCTCCATAATAGGGGTGCCTTCCAATTCCATTTCTGCATCTTCGCAAAGGGCGTTCTTCATGAACTGAGTCTTCTTCCGATTTATTCGCAGTCCGATCTTCTTCCCTACTTCGTTTAGTTCCTTCAGCATCGCCTCTGCTTCAGTGATACTGCTCGAGAAAAGGACGACGTCATCCGCAAAACTAAGGTTGGATAGGAATCTCCCATCAACTCGTATGCCTCTCTCTTCCCAGTCTAGTGACTTCATCACCCACTGCAAGGCCGCGGTGAACAGCTTCGGCGAAATAGTGTCGCCTTGTCGAACCCCCTTCCCAATTGGAATGGTTAGGGGGCGCTGGAATAGTTGCATCGTTGTTGTACAGTCCTTGTAGCAGTCGGCTAGTGTCCTCACGTAAGCTGGTTCCACTCCTTGATCGACCAGCGCAGACAGGATGGCGTTGGTTTCGACGCTGTCAAAGGCTTTCTCGTAGTCGACGAAGGTTAGGACGAGAGGCAGTCGGTACTCCCGACAGACTTCTATGACCCTCGAAACCGTCTGGATGTGGTCCATGCAGTTGAATCCTTTGCGAAATCCAGCTTGTTCTTGGGGTTGGGCTTCATCCAGTGTCCTAGATATGCCTGCGAGGATCATCTACGTGAAGAGCTTGTACAGCACACTCAGCAGGCATATTGGACGGTCATTTCGAAGATCTTCCCGTTCACCCTTCTTAAAAAGAAGGACGGTTCTTGACGTTTTCCACTGGTCGGATGTCAGGTGCGACGCGAGAATCTCGTGTAGACGTTGTCCTCCGGCTCGCAGAAATTCGACGGAAAGATGGTCTGGTCCTGGAGCCGTGGATGTCTTCATGGTCTGAATCGCCGTGCGCACTTCAGCAGGTAGAATTCGTGGTGGTACTTCTCCAGTGGGAACAACGGGCATCGGTACGGGTGTTGATGTGCGGAAGAGGCTGGTATAGAAGTTCTTCGCGATAGATTCCATCTTGTATCGGGAAGAAGTCGGAGTCCCGTCTTCGTTCAATAGTGCAGCCAGCGGTACGTGATATTCACAGAGGTCCCTTCGGCATTTCTTAAGACTTCGTCTTCCTTCGGCTGCTTCCAGTATCTTGGCTTGCCTGTACTTCCTGATATCCTCCTGCATAGCTGTTCTGCAACTGGCGTTGGCAATCAGTTGCTCGAGATGGGTTGCATTCGGATCCTGCCTCAAAAATCTTCTTCTTTCGAGCAATTCCTTGGTGGTCTTCGATATACGTTCCAAGTTCTTCTCAGAAGTCACTGAGGCACATTCTCCGCAGGCTCGCAATCCTTTCAGAAGCCGTTCGTAGTCGTACGTCGGGTCCTCCTCGATGGGCCAGTCACATCTTGATATGAGCTCCTCCAGCCTGTTCCCGTCATAAAGACTTCCTTCCTTCTCGCGGTACTGTGACAGACTTTGTGACACTGTTTCTGTTTTTGAGGAGGCAAATTTGGTATATTCCGTTGTCCGGTCCCGACTTTTGCAAAGGGAGGTTTTTCGTTTTTCCGCATGTCTATGAGTATAATACTATTGAAAGGAGTATGACCTAAAAAACCTCGCTTTCAAAAAAGACGCTAACGTAGTGCCAATAAATTCATCCTTTTTATATGTTTTATATGTTTTATCAAGAGGCTCCAATCCTATCTAACAGGCACTAGGTTGTCCCGGAATTATTGCGGATTTTTAGGTCATACTCCTTTCAATAGTATTATATATTCGTAATCAGCATGCTCACTTACCCCCCCCCCCCTCCTGCGCCAACTTTCAGCCCCGTAGCTCTGACTTTGCAAAAATCGATGAAATCGATAAGGTCGATATCGATCGATGGAAAAGTAGCCTACGACACCCGACCCGAAATGTATGTGTGCAAAGTTTGGCCCGGATCGGTTCAGAAATAAAAATTTCTATTCGGAACATACGTACAGACAAACATCCCGACATGCAGACACACAACAGACAAAAGCAAAAATCACTGTAGCGCCTTTTGCAATCAACTTCGCTTGCTATCTAACAACGCTATTCGTACTTTCTCCTGCGTTGTCTTCGATTGTTAGCTTTATTTGCCTCGATATATAGAGCCATGTACTCTGGTACATACCTTCGATAGTCAAGAGACCGAACCTAGAAAGTGATAGTTGCTCGAGTTTCTGCCTCCCATAAAAAGTGAAGGTTGTTTTGATAGATGGAAACTTAGAGAATGAATTAAGCCAGGGACTTGAAAAATTCATATAAAGCAGAGGTTAGCACATCACCAAATTTAAAACCTAAATTTGGTTTTCCTACGCGCAGTATCCTCTTCAGGATTGCCGGTTTAATTGGGTGGCAAACAAAGTTCTTTTCCAATTAAAAAAGCGTTTTTAGCTGTGGCGGTACTTGGGAGAGTGAAGGAAGGAAAACTTGTTAACCACTGAACTGAACATGTTAAACACGCAGAAAAGATATGTTGCGCATCGACGCCATCTGAATTTTGATGCGTGCTTTATATTTTCTCCCCCGCATAGTCGTTTCGTATCCTGCAACTTTGTTTGGATTCTTCCGCTCACCATTGTGAGCAAGTATCGTCCAAGTTGGAAAAAAATTCGTTGCGAAAGTACTGGAAGAGAACAAGGTAAAGAAAAACCCACTTTTTAGTAATTTTCAGAAAAAAAAACCGGCGTAAGCAGACAAGTAAGCTCGGCGACGTTGTCTACATCATAGACAGAAACAAGACCTATCGAATATACAAAAAAATCGAGTGGAAAGAGTTAAATTGAAGAAAAAACGAGAAGTTTTCGAAAACGCCGTTTTTTCCAGATTTCTCGTTTAAATAATAAAGAGGAGTCTTGCGACGTTGTCAGCGTGAAAATAGAGACCAAGAGCTTTAATATGATATATAGATTGTAGTAATTGGGCTCTGAACAACAAAGAAAAGGGTACCAGAGCCAAATGCCCCGCGCCCCGCCTTTAGGGTAGCGAGGTAGCGCGCAGCGCGCAGAGACGCAGACGAGCAGCGGAGTCAGACCAGAGCCGGTGGAGCATTTGGCTCTGATCATTGATCTCCGCGGGGTCATAACGAAACCCTATAACATTACATATCGTTGTGATTCTCATAAGATGGCCAGGAGCACTGACAACGTCGCGGGTCTTGAAAATCACTCCATAACGAAATAGACCAGCATTTATGCGGCGACTCTCTGCGCAAGATTTGAGCGCAGTTTCTCGTTTTCATTGAACTCGAGCGACTTTCATGAGCTTCCAGCGCTCAATCGCAGTCTCGAGAAAGGTTAATTGGAAAATGTTGGGTACTTTTCCGTTATCCGGACCCATTTTTTCAAAGAAGGATATTGCTTCTATCCTTGTACGATATTTTGTCCCAGCTTCTTAGAAAGGAGTAAAAACCTTCTGCCACGTGTCAAGAAAATTTGACATGTCATCTACATGTTTAACAGGTTTTACAAAGAGTTTGTGTTACCCTAGCTAGCGATGTAAGTTCATTCTGTTTTTTAGTAAATTTTGACCTTATTTCGATTAAATAGTTTTAAAGTGAACATTGTCATAATAATAACAACATACCATCATCGATGAACAGATTTAGACTTGCTCAGGATAGAAAAGTGCGCTAGGATTCCCTTATTCAAAAAGCGAAATGAGCAGCAGCCAGGCACTTCAGGCTATCACTTATAGTTTTTTCGGCTAAATTCGCATGGAGAAAAGGAATTGAAGAGAAATACGCTTTTGAATCAGTGTCAAAAGCAAGCAAGATGTTCTAGAATAAGTTCATGATTGTTTTGTGCTTATGTAAAACAATTAAGCAGCTTTAGAATGATCACAAAATCTCTTTTACCTCACCGGAAATGATTTCGAAAAAAACCTGTCAAAGTCGACTAAAACGTGTCAATTTTTTCGTGACACGTGGCAAGGAGGCAGTCCTCGTAGCATCTATAAAAATTATTCTTTGACCAAAGAACATATAATATGAGAGCTTTTTGAAAAAATGGGTCCGGATAACGGAAAAGTACCAAATTTTGTCCTATTTCTAATTGAATTTTTACAAAAACGTTCTTTTCAGCAAAAAGAGGCCATAAAAACGCAATTCTTCGGTATGATCATTATTAAATAGGAATGAATGTAAATGAAGCAAGTACAAGAAATAATACCTTTAGGCTACCCAGCAAACCCGAAAATTTTTTTGGTCTTTTTTCGCTAGAAAGAAGGTTTTTGTTGAACTTTT